AGTAGTAGACCCTGCCTACCTACATAATAAATCACCTTATGACACTTGTGATAACTAATAAACCTCTCAATCTCAAACCCCATGACTTAGCTTACTTATTGAAAATTATTAAGTCATATCTCACCTACCTATATCTGATTAGTTAATCTAATAATACAATTTCAGGTAGAATATAGAGAAAGAGTGAAACCTGCCACCACAAAACATTGAATGACCAACAAACGAATGACGGACGCGGGCGAGCGGTTGGCGCGCAAACGTATGGTGATGAAACAAATGGTAACATAAAACAAAAAAAACACACCAAAAAGTTGAGCGGTAGAACAGTAGACCCTGCCTACCTACGTAATAAATTTCCTTAGACACCCTAGGTTATGAGTTATGACACTTGTAATGACTAGCAAACTTCTCAATCTCAAATTCAATGACTTAGCTTGTTTATTGGAAGTTATTAACTATATCTCGCCTACCAATGTCTGATTAATTAATCTATAATAAAATAAAATCTCATGAAGAAGACAAAGAAAGAGTGAAACCCGCCGCCACAAAACATTGAATGACCAACTAACGATTGAAGGACGGAAGAGCGGTTACCGCGCAAACGCATGATTATGACGCAATTGATAACACAAAACAAAAAAAACACACCATAAAGTTTTTAAAGTAGTATTAGAATAGAAGCCCCTGCTTACCTACGTAATAAACTACCTCAGACACCCTAGCTTATGACGTGTAATGACTAATTATAAATCTCTCAATCTCAAACCCCATGACTTAGCTTACCTATTGGAAATTAACTCACACCTCACCAATCTATGTCTGATTAGTTAACAAATTTAATCTTTAATGTTTAATTTAATCTAACTAAAATAAATTCTCAGTAAGATGGAGAGTAAAACCAGTTACCACAAAAACATCGAATGACGAATAATGAACTAATGGTGAACTAATGACGAATTAATGACGGATGACGAACGAACTAACGAGCGAACGACGAACGAACGCGAACACCGGCACACCTAACCTTTTATGATGCAAATCAGATCGAAATTATGTTAAAGTTAACACGAATCTACAAAATTTGCAGATTAAACTAGAGTTAGCTATGTTAATTAGATAAAACTAACAAACGGACATCAAGAACCCAAACCCCAACGCCAAAAATTCTTGATCTGACCTCTACATATCGTCTGCTACTTATTTATACTGGCTCCATTTATACATTCTTAATATTTCAAATCATTCACTTCTATACAAGCTTTATTTAATGTATACAAAACACTTATATATATTCTTATTATCAATATACGAACTATTCATAATTCGCTCGTCGAAAACTTTCCACATTTTTCTAATTAGCTAGTATTTTTGGAATAACAAGATTGCAACTTCCTGATTGGCTAGTCAGTTTGCGACAGTTGTCTGTCCTATATGCAAGTTCAAACTCAATGCACTCAATGCACTCAACGCACTCAATGAACTCAATGCACTTAAAAATTATTTACCGAAATTTCTGATTGGCTAATTGGTTGACGGCAGCTTTTTTGTTATAACCATATATAGGCATACAAAATTTTGTCTTTTAGGCCTACTTTTTCTTATGTATAATTCACTTTCGCTACGTATATTTGTTTTTGTAAGAATATGTTTTGTAACAAACATTGTTTCATTGTTTCGTATAAGCGTGGTTCGGTCAATTTTCTTTATTGAATTCTATTTTACTTCAGAGTTTCCGACCCATTCTTATATTCTCTTGAAAATTTTGTGTGAAATAGAAATACACGCATAAATACACATACACACACATACAGACACATTTGTTAATTGGTTGGTTTGTATGTGTGTGTGTCTTGTTTTTTGTTCGTTCGTATGTACGCTCGCTCAAGTCTTGCTTAATTGTTTGTATTGCTGTATTGTAGCACTAACATATCATATCTATATTGGTAGATTAACGCATATACAGATACAAACTTGCAAATACACATACAAAGACACAAAACACAAACATACAGAAAGAAACACACACAAACAAATGAGCGGTGAATGGGCAAATTTGTTTTTTTAATATCTGAAATGTTCGTCTGCCGCATTGGTGCAACTAACCAACTAAACGTTTCACATATTAATTTGTCTTCAAATGAATATGGTTTATGATATATAAAGATACAATTTTTCACAAATATATTTTATTTTTGTTCATTCATTCAATCCATTTATATATATGTATATATGTATATTTAATCTGGTTTTAAATAATTTACAATAAACCACAATAAATGAAATTGTTATCTGTGCTATAAAGACTGCTAATTGTTTTGCCTATGTACAACAACCATTGTAACTTCGGCGTGAAAATGTTTTTAAAATTTCTTATCAAAGTGGTGGAAGATGATGTGTCGAAAACTTTAACGAAGCTGACCAACTTGATCATCAATGATAAAAGGAATGCAAACTTAATTTTGGAGTTTATCGCTAATTTGTAGGAGCTTAATTAGTGTTTGTTACCTCATTCTTTTTTAATTAATAAAAAATTATTTAAAAAGCTTCATTCATTTTCATTTCATGGCAACTTATATATACCAATAACGATAACCAAACAAAACGCAATGAGATAAGTTTGATTGGATTAGAGAAGGAGCTTTTATTCAGTACTTATTTATTCTAATTTTTAAAAATGTAACTATTATTTTTCAAACAGAATGCTTAAAAGATGTTTACAAAATTAAAATGTCGAGTGCTCTATTAAAAGTTTTCTCTCACATCATAAAAAAGCACCTCTATGGGCAATGTAACCCCAAAACAAACGCTAGCAACATAGAAACCTGTTTCAACAACACAACAAGTGCAAATGAAAGGTTTTTAAACACTTTAAACTTTGAACAATGGATGAACAAACAATTTCAAACAGCTTGAAAACATTGTGAACACTGGTGTGAACAGTTAGTACATGAAGAGGCTTTAACCAGAGTAAGTAACTACTGTGTGGTGTTGTGTTTTGTCGCTTGCACCTGGTGCAATTTCGAAGAAAGCCTAAATTTGTATTTTTATTTCAAGTTCAGAAAGTTCTAGTTTTTAATATTGAATTGGGTTTTAATATTAACTTGGTAGATTATTGGGCTAATTTGCTAAATATGTATATGCATCTGTGTGTATGTATTTATGTATGTGTGGTGTATGTATGTGGGGTAATCAGCACGATGATTTGACATAGTGGTGCTCCTTTACGATTTATTGAGGTCATAGTTTTTTCTCATTATTTTAATAAGTGCTTAATTATTTATTGTTTTTGGTTAATTATTAATTTTTATGTTGCTTCTTATCTAATTATTGTGTCTTTATAAGATTTATTTGGATTTTAATTTACCTGATTGTTATTTTTATTTCTATTTTCAGAAAATTCTTTGGGATTTTTTATCTTCTGTGAAGAAACGTGATGAGGCAAGTATAAAAGTCGAAGAATTCAAACAACAATAACGACAACATTAATATTGATGATGATATAATCATAATAAAAATAATAATTATTATTATTATAAAAGTTGTTAACTTTAATTAGACATTTATTTTTGCCAATATAAAAAATTTGTGACACTACTATTTTTTAACTCCTCATATCTGTTCCTCATCTCTGTTGCTCTAGCGAAAAATTGTGGATTTGTGGATGGGACAAGATTTGTCAAACTCATCTTCTTCTTCTTCTTTGCCATCCTCTTCCGCTTCTTCATCAGTTTTGCCATTGTTGGTCGAACTAGGTACATCCGTCATATCAAGTTCGAATGTTTTACTTTTCATCATGTACATGTGGTTGTAGGAATGATGATGGTAGATCAATTTAAATGGATCTGCCTGAAGCTCGTTGAATTAGTGAGTGTTATTACCTGCGAATTTGCTTTTGTAAATAGATTATGTGATTCTGGCTCTGATAAAATTGTGGGTACGGAGGAATAAGAATGGTTTCTACTGCTGTTTAAAATTTGACTCTCCGTGTTGTTTACAACTTCAAACATTGAATCGTCTTGTTCTCGATACATAAAAAAGTTTATATATTGAAAGAAATAAAACATACTATACAACATTCAATTATTATGACAAACACTGTTTTCGGTAACTTATTTGATTCATGTAACACTCTTATGAACATTTTTAAAAACTCATTTTTATACGAAAATATATTATAATTGAAAATGAAATATTTCTTTTTAGATAAAATTTAATTTGTTTATAAACTCATATCTAGAATGTGTATTTGTTGACATGTATCACGTCACATACTATAAAACTGTTAATAAAAAAATTAAAAAATTCCATTCTCAAAATCGTACTGGATCGACCAATTCATCTTGCTTGGAATCTGGCAGAAACCACAACAACCATAGCCCTCCGAAAGTCGAGATAATGAAAAAAATATACAACAGAAATCTGTTAATCACATTCGAAATCTCAATCCATAAGCTTTTATTAATCAATAGATCCAATTCAGTATTTAGAGTTTCGTTTATCTGAGCTAAGAGAGGTACCAATCTGACCAACGCAGCTAGATCGTTCATTATGATTTCTAAATCTTCGCTAGGATAAGTTTTTTCAGATTTCAAGATTTTAGGTTTAGTCTGTGAATATTGTTGATTAAAATTTTCATTTAAGATTGTCATCTGTGATTTACGTCTGCAAAAGTAATTTCCAAATTTAGGACTGTGACTATCTGGGTAGATGACTGGATTTTCACTATCAACGCTGAAACTGTTTAAATATTTCAAAGTTTCGAGAAGTCGATTCATTGTTCTGCTGTTTGCATTATGCTCTTCTTTTGCCAGATCACTATCCCAACTACAAATCAGGCGTTCGCGCGCAATCCTGTCTTGAATGACCTTTATAGATTTCTGAATATTTATGTAGAGGAATCGCAGGTGTTCGAAATTTACATTTTTAAACTTGAGGGAGTGAATTTTTTGAGGTATCCACGTCGTTTTGTTACTCATACCGATGATGGTTGCTAATTTATTTAAAATGATGTACTGGAGCCAGTTTGGTGGCGGTTCATCTTCGCTATGATGGTGCAAGATGAGGATAATTATTGTGGTGAAGAGGAAGAGAGAGGACATGAACATGACGAAGACGACGTAGACGGCTGTGTGTAGGTTATTCATCCATTCAATTCATTCATTCATTTCATTTATTCATTCCTCCAATTCATTCATTCCTACCATTCATTCATAAAAAAAATTTTGTGACAAAAATAAAATCTACCCTACTTAAATAAGGAACATAATCGCCGATCTCGGGCAGTACGTAGAACATCGTATCAAGAAAAACAGTAAATGAGAGCAGAACGGTTATACTGAAGCCAATTTTTTTTCTAGTGCCAGTCGGGACCAGGAAAACTAGCTGTGCAAAGACAAACGTCACCACACACGGATATATGAAATACGTGAAGTGGAAGAGGGGGTAGCGTTTCAGGTGCATGATGAAAATTATTTCAGAAAAGTTTGATTTTATTTCTGGGTAGACCCTTTCATTGAGTTTTACCTGGTTTGCATTTTTAGTTTAAGATATCGATAAATATATTTTTAACTTAAGCAGGCAGCATAAATGTTTATTAAAATTATTTAATTTATCTAACGGTGAAAAATAAATAAAATAAATAAAATGTTCAAATGGCGATTTGTATTTTTTAAAAATAGAAGTGAAAATATAGGGAAAAAAAAATAAAAATATAGGAAACAGATTTGTACTCTGGTATCGAGAACGTGCCATTGTTCGTGGGCTGAATGATGTTTCAGATTGATTTTATTGACGGATGCCTTGAATACGACCTGTTTGTTATGTTTTTGGAAAATATCGCTACTTAGGTACTCTTACATTGGAAGTTTGAGAATTTAAATTTCAAAAATTTGTGCGAATCTAACGTTGCTATTGTCTCTTCTTTTTACTTGTTCATCGACAAGGTCTTATTTTAATGAAATTTAAATAATTTAGTCTTATAACCTTACCTGAAATTTTAAAAATATTCAGAAATATTCAGAAAATTTACAAAGATTGTCTGAAAATTTTCAAGAAATTTATAATAATTTGCCAAAAGCAGACACATCACGAACCCATTCGGTGTTATAGGTCCAGCTATCAATATAGATTTGGCACTTTTGCTGGTCGAATGGAAAATACGTGAAGTCTAGGTGACAAAAAACTCTGGTCTCCCTGACGAAATCGAACGATATCTCACCATTGGACTTGATGATCAGCTTTTGAGGTGATTTGTGGTCAACAACAGACAAACTTTCAACTCTGTGGAAAATGTTTGAAGCAAAAAATTTAATGTCAACTTCAGTGTTATTTATATTTTTTTAGTATCTTTCTATATATTTTTTAGTGTCTTTTTTATTTTTTAGTGTCTTTCTATATTTTATTTAGTATCTTTCGTCTATATTTAAATTAGTATCTAACGTTTATATTTTATTTTGCATCTTACGTCCATATTTTATTTAGTATCTTTTGTCTATGTTTTATTTAGTGAGTTTTGTCTATTTGATGAAAATTCACTGATTTAAATAACGTTTTACCCATTTCTGACGGAGATATCAGGAACCCAGACGTCTTTGGCGTTAGTCACGATTGAAGATATGTTGTGGTGCTCGCTCATGTTCCATTTCAGAAAAGAATCTATCCATTTCTGATGAATTTTTTCAATATCTTAAGATCTAATAATGTGTGTGTGTGCGTGTGTGTCTGTCTGTGTGTGTGAGAAGAGAAACAAAAAGAGAGAGAGAGAAAGAGAGAGAAGAGAGTAAAAACGTGACATACAAGTCGAAACATAGAGTTGTTTAGATATGCTGAAGTGTTTTTGTTGCTAGGACAGCTATGATTTTAAATGTTAAAAGTGCCATTTTCTGAATAATAATAATGCCATGATGTCATGAATCTTAATTAAGGATGAATGTATCATTTACCATTTTAATTACTCCTACTATACTCATTGTGTGTTCTCTTTCATTCTGAAATTGAAATAAAATCAAAATCGAAAATTTTTCAAATAAATTTAAAAATTATTGGTATAAATCATACATTTCTCAAACAATTTCACAAACTATCCAGACTAATTCACAAATTATCCAAATTAATTTACAAAAAATTGAAATAAATTTGAGACAACTAACTATAAAGACGATGGTGAACAGGTAGTACTCGACCCAAACTGTGATTGGTGAACTTTTATTGCTGACCGGACGAACGTTCGGGTTGTAATCGTGAAATAAAGTCCAAAAAAGTTGGGCCTCTGAAATAATTTTTGCCTTTTGAAATTTCAAATGTTTCATTGTTCAATTGTTTTTATATTCTCGATACTTTATATTAATTTATCTTATAATGTTAATAACATAAACAAAGTTGTAATTATAAATTGAAATCTTGCTTCATTATTTATACAACTTAAATTTTATATTATTTATAAAAAAAATCGTGAATTGACATAACGCCACTTGTTAAAAACCTTGGCAATTATGTTTGGAGAAATGAACAACCAGCAATATAACTATCAGGCTAAACATCGTACGGCAAAAACTCTTAAATTATTTCCAGAGTTTGATCAATTTTTCAAATCTTACTACCACCAAATTTCAATTTATTAACTATTTATACAGTCAAATTTAAAAACTTCTTATCCATTTATAAATTATTTACACAAAATGATTAAAAAACTTAAATTTTTTATACAAATATAATACGAAATTTATTCATTTAGTACATGAGAAAAACATTTTAAAATGCAAAAACGCCGATCGATTCATTCCATCCAACATCAAAACGCGCATGCATACAGAATAAATTTTCTTGAATGTAAACTAAAAAACAAAAAAGACACATACAGTGACGTAGCCTTAAGGGACTATAGGGCTAAATACTCCGTAAAATAGAAAATATTGCTAGCAGAAGGGCTAAATTGGACAAGAATGTCTAAAAAATTGTAAAAATGATTTAAATAGCAAAATGTAAAGAACGTTGAACAGTAAGCATAAAAAATTCGGCAATTAAAAATAATTTCTGATTCCCCAAAAAAATTGGCTACGCCGCTGCCCACATTCAGATGGTTTTTAGAATATTTAAATAAGTTTACGTTAGTTTGTGCGAAGGAGGAAGATTGTGTTTACTGATGATGAGGACGTGAGTGTAGCAGGTAGAAGCAAAAATCGATTCATCATATTTGATAGTTTTGTGTGTTTTTCATTTATTTGTTTTAGTTCGTTAAAAATTGTAAGTGCTAAGGGGAAAAATTGGTGTAAACATTTTTCGCATATAAAGAATTGTTTATTTAGAAGCTTTCTTGATTGGTGCACTAAGCCAAGTGTTAGAGTTGTTTTTCCAATCGTCAATGTCTGTTTACAAACTATCTTTAATTTGCAAACTAAATATTTAGTTTGAAAATTTTGATTCAAGAATTAATACTAAAAGTTAATTACCTAATGTGTACCTACAAGTCCTTAGTCAAAAACCTTAAAATCTGGTCTATTTTTATCTAATTGACGTCCAAAAAACCGAACACAACACAAAGCAATTATATTTTGTTTGAAGGCGTTCGTTCAAAGCTTAACATTTTTTGGTCCATATATTAGATCTTCTACTTCTGCATTTTTTGTTTTTTCTTTGTATGTCTTATTATTTGCACTTTGTATTCAATTGTTTTACTGCTGTTATACCCGCTCTTGGGAATATCTAAGAGAGAATCATATTGTTGTAAACTTTAACGCTCGTAACTACCAACACCAATGTTATAACTTCAATGATCTTTATATTTCCAACACCAGTGTTGTAGCTTCCAACGATCAAGTATTCGTGATTTCATAGGTTCAAGATTTCCAATAGATGAAGACAGCTGCTTTAAACGCAAACTTTGTTGAACGTTTATTCGAATGCCATCAGTAATAGAAACACCAAATTAATCCAAGTAACTACATAAATCACAATTTCAACTTCGCATCAAACCTCGCTATATGACTTCGCTAATTCTGTCCCTTTTATACAGGAAATTCCGACAATCCAAACATTACAAAGATAATAAATGCTCAAGATAATGATGATTAATTGAAATTAATTATATATCGTAATTCCAACAATCCGGCGGTTATAAAACATAAATAACAACAATGTACAAATGCGTATGTATAACAAAGTAAAATATGTGAAAGTGCAGTTTCATATAAACAAATATTATAATTTAGACAGAATCGTCAATGTCTGATTTTTGGGAGTGACACAACAGCCACATGCCGACAGCCGATGAGACGACGACAGTTACACAAAAGAAAAATCTGTTCACCACGTTCACCATTTCAATCCAGAGACTTTTGTTTGGTATTAGGTTGGTTTCCTTATGGATAACGTCATTCATCTCTTGGAGTAGTTGTTTCAATTTTACCAGTATCTCAACATCATTCATCAAATTGTACAATCGTTCGCTTGGATTGAGTTTTGGTAAAAAACTTTTTTGAATTTCATTCCGTTGCTGAGTAGCTGGTCTTAAGTTTTTGTTTAAAGTTTCCAGGTGTTGAGATTTGTGGCAGTCTAAATAATTTTTTAGCTCAGTGTATGAGTAGATAGATTGAAAACATAACGCCAAATTTTTTTTGCAGCTACTGAAATATTTCAAATGTTTCATCTTCTCAATCAGCTCATTCAACAACTCGGCAGTTTCACACTTTTCACGTTCATACTACTCTACAAAATCATTGTAACGAACTCTAAAACGTTCTTCTCTGATAGCCTGCCCACTCTTAAATTTGACTCTGGATACATACATACCCATTCCTGACAGAGATCTCAGGCTTCCAGACGTCACCAGCTTTTAACACAATTGACGTCTTGTTACCGTAGTCACTCTTATTCCATGTCAAAAATTCATCAACCCATTTCTGAAATTTCAAAAAAGTTATTTTTATCCGAATTTAAATGAAAGTATTCCTATTTATTTTGAATTTAAAATAGAAATAAATAAGTCAAAATAGTTTTTAAAGTTTTGTGTTTTGTAAAATTTGCCTACAACGATCATTATTCCTAAAGTATTCACCTCGTACTTTTTTCATTCTGAAATGAAAATTTTTTAAAAATTCGCCAAGAAGCGCTTTATTAACTAAATTTGATGAAGTTTTAATTTAAATGAATAAATATTTAACAAATTAATTAAATAAAAATACAATTAACAATTGAAATTATTTAAAACTAATGCACAAACGATGGACTTGATAGAGTAGAGAATATAGTCCACAGTGACATAGACTGGAGTGTTTTCGTTAAAGACAGGTCTCATTTTTGAATTGTATTTCTTGAAAAGATTCTTTAAAAGTTGGGCTTCTGTCAAAATAAACACAAAATAAACTGTTAGTGCAACGGTTAAAGCACTTGGCTGTACTTTGACGAAGGTCTCGAATGGACCTGGTTCAAATGTTAAAAATCCCTGTCTTATTACATTCACTGTGTGTGATACGTTGATACATTAGAGCAGTGCATTTTATAATTAAATAAATATAGCTTAATAATTAACTCAAGTGATAAATATTTTGAATGATTCATATTAAATAGATTAAAATGTAATGAAATGTTGGTGTTTTCACATGCATGTCAAATTTTTATGCTTTGAATTAATTTATATAATTTTATTCGCAAAAATAATAAAAATTTGTAAATGAATAAACACAAAAACAAAACATACAGTTCTTTTTTCAAAATTTTGTCACAAAAAAGTGTACGTAAAATAACAGAGCACAATACAATACAAAAATATATAACCTTGACAATGTAGTGCTGAGAATTGAAATATACATGCTACGACAACCGATGAAGCCAATTGAAACATTATAATTGGAACCATTATTAAGTTTGAGAACTGAAGAACGAGAATGTTTATATAAAAAACAGAAGAACTGAAATGATTTAAATTTAATCAATTTAATTGTTTACTCAAAATATAACAAAAAAACCATAATAATTTATAGAATGCATCTCCTGTGTATGAAAAAATAAGAAAATAAATTAATCAATTAAAGTATTAAGAACTTATAGAATGAACAGATAAGTGCGTGTTTAGTTTTTTTATTGTTTGAGTTGTTTGCAGATGAAGAAAAAATGTTCAGGTAGGAAACAAAATCAATATAATTTATTTTTTTTTTTTACAAATTTCGAGTTTTTTTTATCTCCATTCAATTAGTTTGAGTTTTGCCACGAGAAAAAAATTTATAATCTTTATGTTGATGGTTGATACTAATTAGAAAATTATTAGAAAAGCTTAGTATTTTTGTAACTAGAGTGATTGTTAAACACGTTTGAAAATTTTGACAGTTTTATTACTTCATTTGAAAAAATACTTCAATTTGAGTTTATTGAAAGAAACATAAGAGATCACGCAGTTGACAATTTATTTGAAAATAAAATAACATATATAATAAAAAGAATCTCCAACCACAACTACGCCAATATTTCCAAATTTAATTCTGTATTTTCCAGGTTCAGCCGCATGTTTGAACACTCTTATGCTAAATCTGCGTTTGTCAATTCTGGTCCTTATCTCTGAAACTCTCTACCTACCTCCTTCTCTGACTACTTCTCCATCAACTATAAAGTTCAGAATGTATCTCCACACTCATCTGTTTGTTAAAATCATTGAAATGGCGCTTTATAAGCTACTTAATTGGCTGATTGATTGGTTGATTGATTGACTGAATGATTGATTGATTGATTGAAATATTGTCTGTACCCGATAAATGCTAAATAAGATAAAGATATCACCGAGGTCATCATTCTTTTCTAGGTGACGTCATTCAGTTGATGGCCTAACGAGTGGGTCGACAGATTTTGGCCCGGAAGTCGGTAGAAACCACAATAAACTGAAGCCTCCGAAAATTGAAACGATGAAAAATATTAAAAATAAAAGTCTGTCTACTACGTTCGCGATTTGTATCCATGATTGTTTGTTTGAAATGACGATCGATTCTTCTTTCAACGTTTCGTGGACTTGTATTAGAAGTGGTTTAATTTGAATTAATGCTTCGATGTCTTCAATCAAGTTGTACAACCTCTCCCGTGCGTTTTGTGATTTGAAAAAAGAATCGAGTAAAAAAATTTCTTCAGGTTGTAAATTTTCACAAAATTCCTCGTTTAATAAACTTGGATTCAAAGCTTTGCGCGCCAAATAGGATGATTTTCGATGAGAGGATGAATACTTTTTGCAACCACCAAACCCTTTCAAATGTTCAAACTTTCCCATCAACTCTCCTAACAAAATTTCAGTTTCACTGTTTTCGAGTTCTTCCTTGCAAACGTGCAAACGCTCGCGGCTTACCGCATCTCTTAACACACTGACGAGTCTTTCAATATTTCTAAACAGAAACTGCAAATACTCCATACTCCCATTTCTAGGTTTCAGGAGCAAATTATCATCAGGGATCCAGTTTATTTTTCTCGTCATTCCTATGATCCTTGCTAGTTTATTAAAAATAAAATTCTGAAACCAAAGAGGCGGTGCGTTATACTCGGCGTGGTAGTGAAGGATTAGAACGAACACCGTAAAAAACACGGACAGGGATGATATGAATATTACGAAGACCACGTAGAAAGCTGTGCGAATGTTAAAAAAATTAGTTTAAAATTTTTAAAAAGTCATTTTAGTATCCAAATATTAAAAAAAACGACTCAAAGATGATAAAGGACTATGATAATTTGAAAAAAAACAGCTTAAAATTGAAAAAATTTCAAATTTGGATTCCAAAGATGGAAATAAACCCACCCAAAAACGGGATATAATCTCCAGATTTCGGCAAACTGAAGTACATGGTATTCAAGAAGACGGAGAAGGATATAAGAATAGTAGTGCTGAATTCAATTTTTTGATTGGTGTCAGAGGGTACCAGGAAGACGAAGGTTGTCGCTACAGAAGAGATGAGGCATGGATAAATGAAATAGGTTACGTGAAACAGCGGGTTTCTCTTGAGATGGATGACGAAGTTAACCTCTGAGTACGTCATATCCCTCTCGTCAAACTCATTGATAACTTCTCTTACCTATAAATAAGGTTTAATTTGGGAAATTCACCTATTTATTTTCAAATTATTATATTTTAAATAATGAAAAAACTGTTAAGAGCCGTACTTCTGTATCGACTACATCCCAGAGTCCTTGGGGTATCATGTTCGTTATGTCCAGTCTCTCGGTTTTGAAAAATAACTTAACCTGAATGAATGAATTAATGAATGAATGAATAAATAAATGAACGAATGAATGAATGAATAAATGAAGGAATGAATGAATTGATTAATTGAGAGATGGGCGAACGAATAGATGGATGTATAAATGATTGAGTAATTATACTGCTATAAAAAAAATAAATGCTTTTACGGAGCACTAAAGATTCAGCTGTCTAAATTACAAACACACACACAAACAAACACATACACACTAATTAACACACACACACACACACTAATTAACACACACACACACTAATTAACACACACACACGTATTAACGCACAAACACACACACTCACACATACAAGTAAAAAACTCCTCGAATTACTTGCGTATTGGTATAAGACCAGCTGTCCATAAATATGTAGCAGGCTTGTACGTCTAGCGGGAAGTAAGCCATATTCAGCGTGCAGAATATCGTGGTTTCGATCATCGTATCCATGGAGACCTCGCCTTTCGATGAAGGTCAAAGGTTAAAGGTTAAAGGTCATTCCTTCTTAATTATTTCTCAATCTTAGGTATAGTTATCAACACGCACAAACACACACTCACACAAACACACAAGCATATATGAATAAGCGTTAAACCACTTATCGCACATGCGTTGAATATGAAAGGTTGGGATATCCTTGTCATCTAATCTGTTCACAATTACAAACATACTATACCTCCAACAGTTAAAATAATCTCTTTAATAAATAAAATTAATAAAATAATAAATACATAATAAATATTAAATACTAATTAATTAAATTAACAATTAAAAAGGCAAAACCTTCCGAAGAAATGTATACCCGCTGCGGGGATTCTTCGGTCAAAACTGGAAAAGTTTGCCGGTCACTATTTTTTTTTTCAAATTTCACAATTGAATTTGTTATTATTATTTAAAATTATTAATTTATGGAAAGAGAGAGAGAGAGAGAGAGAGAGAGAGAGAGAGAAAGAGAGAGAGGGAGAGGAAGAAAGAAGAAAACAAGAAAAAGAATTGAAGGTTTACCTGTCCACTTTGAGTTAAGACATCAAAGCCCTTGTTAGAGAGAGAGAGAAAAAAAGAGAGAGAAAGAGAGAAAAAAAGAGTAAGAGAGAGAAAGAAAGGAATACGCAATACCCATTTTTGATGGAGAGATCGGGAATCCAGACGTCACAGGCCCTTGCAACGATGTTCGTTATGTTTCCGTGGTCACTAGAGTTCCATGATAAGTTTGGATCCAACCACTTCTGGAAATTTCATCATTATCATTATTATTTTATATTTATTTTTATTATTATTTTTAATAATAATAATAATTTTATTATCTAACCAACCGCTTTATACACTCCGACTGTGGACATTCTGTGGTTCCTTTCGTCCTTACATCGTTGAATGAATGAATGAAGGAATGAATGAAGGAAAGGATGAATGAATGAACAAATAAATGAATAAATGATGTAAGTAACTAAATTAAATAAACAAAAGAAAATAATAAACTTAATTAACTTACTACAGTAAAATAAAATAAAACTTACATCTGTTACTAGCTAATTTGTGAAAGTAAAATTAACTAACAATAGAAGTGATGGAAAAGAGGACATAGTCAACTGTAACATTAACAGGAAAGTTTAAATCAGTAACTGGACGAATTGCTGGGTTGTAATCGTGGAAGAGATTCCAAAATAGTTGGGCCTCTAGAGTTGAAGCATCATTATTTAAATCAGAATTTTATCAAATTTTTGTGAAATTGAATAAATTTTGATAAGTTGTTAACGAAATTTGATAACGTTGTTGCAAAATGGTTATAAAACTTCATTACGTTTTGTTAAATATATAATGAGATGTTTGTTTTTTGCAACTTCATCTTTGAAATTTTCATCCAATTTAGCGAATTTTGATAAAAAGTTATTGAAAATTAGGATAGCACATCATACGGTTTTAGATAGATGTCACATTAAAAATAAGGAAAATATCTAACCATGGCAAATCTGATTCGATATCTGAGATAGAAATACAATGAAAAACAAACAACACATATCAGCTACATAAAAAAACTATCCAAAAGGTTCATTTCAACACGCAGTATATAACAATTCACAAATTTTACGTAAATAAATCAACAATCTAAAAATTTAAATGAGAAATTTTCATGAATATAATGGTAAAAACTGTGAAATAAAGACTATTTGACAAATGTTGAACAAAAATCAAAAGTTAAATCTCTTAAATAAAAAAACTTTCTAAACTTCTTGCTAAAAAATTCATAAAATAGAAACTATGCTATCGAAAATAGTTTACTCTTCTAGAGGAATATTAAAAATTGAATTTGAACTTTTTTTCACCAGCGGAATTTAAGGAGCAAAGAAGGACAGAAGATGGATTGGATTTGTTTGTTCTTGGATCTACAGGGGTGAAGAACAATTGATCGTTTGTGTTGGTTTTTTTTTGAAAAAAAAATTATTTATTTTTACTTTCTCTCTCTCTCTCTGTCTCTCTCTCTCTCTTTCTCTCTCTCCTTCTCTTTGACTGATATTTTTCTTCTTAAAGCAGGTTTAATAAAATACATTTTTGAAGTGATTTCAATTTTAAATTTTTAAAGTTTTTTGGGAGGTTGGGATTTTGAATTAGTATGCAATTAGTTTCGCAATGAAGAAATGAGGTAAAGATGAACTTTATTTCTCGTAAATTTATTAAGGTAAAATATGTAAAATTAATTATAAAATATTTAAAATTAATTATAGAAAGCAATATTTTTTTGCGAATCCATATCGTGCGGCTCACTCATTGGCCAAAACAACAACAACCCCAGCCCTCCGAATAAAGATACAACTACAAATATGCAAAACAACAATCTGTTTATCACGTTCGCCAGTTCAATCCACAAGAGTTTGTTGGATATAACAGTCGACTCGTTAACCAACGTCTCATTAACTTGCACCAGTAAGGGCTCTAGTCTGATCAACAACTGAACTTCATTCATCAAGTTGTACAACCTCAAACGTGAAAATATGTCTGAGGTCTTTGGGTTGCTTTTATTGAGTTGTGGGTTTAATCTTTTGACGGTTTGCTGAAATTTTCTTGTAATCTTGCTAGTTGTGGTGGTTTTTTGTTTTGGGTTCTGGGTAATATTTGGTTTTGAGGTGTCAGGCTTCGCATTCTCATCGCCGAATCCTTTAAGATGTTTAATTTTCTCAATCAGACGGTTGACAGATTCGATAGTTTCGTAACTCTCTCGCTCTTGCTCATCAACATGTCCCTCGTAGCCAACTTGCAAACGCTCCTCTCTGATTTGATCCTGAATATAATTCACTGATTTTTGAATATTTTTAAAGAGAAACTTAAGATGCTCGATTGTTCCGCTCTTCGATTTGATAAAATTTCTCCTGACAGGTGCACTATATGGTTTCCTACTCTTCATCCTAATTGTACCGGCTAATTTGTTCAGCACCAGCTGTTGCAGCCATTTGGGAGGTGGTTTGTCTTGTCCGTGGTAGTGCAGGGTCAGGGTTATTATTGTGAAGAAGAGAGACAGAAAGGCCACGAACATTACGAATAGTACGTAGACGGCTGCAAGAAAATTTTTGTATTTAATAATTTAATAATTATATCTTAAATATAATTGTAATTCTGAATTAAAATGAATTAATAAGTGAATGAATGAATGAATAAATAAATCAATGAATAAATGAATAAAAATTGGCTCTATATAAATAGCCATATTGTAATAATTACTACCATATAACAACATAATTTTAAAACTAAAACCAGAATAAGTAAAAAGTATCTAACTTAAACATGGAATATAGTCTCCTAGCTCTGGAAGTGCGAAGAACATGTAGCTGAGGAAAAAAAGGAATGACAATAGGACGGTGACACTGAAATTGATAGTCTGCTGAGAGTCCAAGGGCATAATGAAGACGAACAAAGCCACAACTGATGACGTGATACACGGATAGATGAAGTAAGTTAGGTAGGATATGGGGTGTCTTTCGAGACGGAAGATGAAGTTGATCTCGGCGTATTTCATTTCATTGTCGTTATATGCGTGGATTATCTTTTCTGCCTTGTGATCGGATTGTGAAATTGTGAATTGGAAGTACTAACTTTAGCGTTTGTTTGTTCATTTGTATATTCGTTCGTTCGTTTGTTCATTCAATCATTCCATCATTCGTAATGCATAAAGAGTTAATTATTATTGATAATTGGATATAATATGAAAAAACTAATTTTTTCATTTTAGCGTGTTTTAATCACCTTTTTGTCCAAAACGATCCATTGTTTGTCTCGCGAGTAGCGATTCAAAGTGACTTTCATCGGGTTTATATCAAAGAGTAACTATTGTGCAAAAATTTTTTTCAAAATCATAAATTAATTATATCTACATCTACAAAAATAATCATTATCTATAGTTTTTAATAAATATATAGCAGTTTTTTAGCAAAAATAAAGTATTAGAAGAAAACTATTATGTAAAATTACATAAAATTTACTTTTTCTCAATTCACAAAGTAATTTTTCTAAAGTATGAAAGAGCAGTAAAAAAAATTACTTGATCGGTTTCATAGGTCCAGCTGTCGAAAGTTACATAGCAGGTCTGCCTGTCGAATGGAAAAAACTTCAAGTCCAAATCGCAAAAGGTTGTAGTTTTCTTCATGAGGTTCAGACTGACCTCCCCAAATGATGTTATTTTCACTTTTTCCGGAGAATCGTCCTTCAAAACTTCGAAAACTCGCTCGTCTCTATAGTTCAATATAAAATTTTTCTACTGGTTGTAGTGCTATCACTGCTGCTGCTACTGCTACTACCACTACTACAGTCGTTGCTACTGCTGTTACAACTGCTACTTCTACTGCTACAAACACACAGACATCACTCATATATACCCGTTTTTTATAGAGATGTCAGGTGTCCAGATGTCATAAGCTCGTGTGACAATCGTAGAAACGTTGTTGTACTCGCTTGCGATCCATTGCAGATTATGATCAGTCCATTTCTGTTGTGTGTGTGCGATATTGGATATCATTTAAAATTTTGTAATAGTAGTAGTAATTGTAGCTGGAAAAATTAAGAGAGAAATAATAATATTAATGAGAGTTGTAGTTGTAATTGTATTAGTAATAGCAACAGCTGCAGTAATAGTAGTAGTAGTAGTAGTTATATAGTAGTTGTGGTAGTAGCAGTAGTAGTAACGGTTGCAGTAGAATTTTTATTTCAGATTAACTTACTATTTTTATAAACCCAAGAGCGTTCATTCGTTTTTCTTTTTCATTCTGAAATTTTTCGTGAAAAATTTTTCTAAATAAGTTGAAAATTATTCTTATTTCTTATTTATTTTACGATGAATATTTTCAGATTTTTTTTTAAATTGCTGGGAAACCAATTTTTGTTGAGGCCGCGGGACAGATGCCCCCCTTCTATCTACCCCCCACAGATTGGACGCTGACAGTACTTACGATAGAGATGAGCAGATGGAGGTCGTAGTCCAACATGACGTTGATTGTGGAGTTGGAATGAACAGCTGGCCTCACGTTTTTGTTGTAGTCATTGAGCAGAGTTTGAAAAAGTTTGGATTCTGAAATTTATACAAAAATATTTGTTTGAAATTTAGTATTATATACATAGGATTAAGACTTCCAGGAAGTTAACTAACGCCGAAAATGCTGTGATTTTCATCAATAATTGTATTATATATATAATATATATTCCTATAACTATAGTTTAATACTAAATTGAGTTTATAGTAATTTCAGGGAAAAGTAATTTTACTCTAGACTCGACACTCAACGTTACAAACAGTAACATTAGTCATCCGATTAATTTATTTTATTTCAATTCAACAGTTTAAAAGCAAAATTGCTTATGTAAAAGCAGGCAAAGAAACACATCCAACCCATTGCATGTGATGGGCGGGGATTTTTGCTACGGCAGTGCCAGACATCTTTACCATTATACCATCGCTCGACCGTTGATATTATATAAATATTATTATATGTATTTTCTTATAAAATTAAAAATATTTTTTTGAGTTTCAATTTATAACTTTCATCAATTAAATAAAAAATGATAGAAAAAAGCAAACCTTGGCATAGATTTCTTGAAAAAGTCGCCAGAGACAAAATCAAAAATACGCGATGCATATTTCAATCATTTTCATATTCATTTAATTTCTTCTAAATTTTATTTAAACAATTTTATTCTTTAAATTCAATGAAAAGATTTTAGTTAAACCTTTTAAAAGCTGTGATCCATTCATTTATTTTAAAATAATCGAGTTATAACCCAAAGAAAAGCATATGAATTTTCAGATATAACGAGTACAAAAATGACACGAACCCCAATCCATCAAATATTGCATACAAATAAACAACACACACACATACACACGAGTTATCTTTTATTCAGGTAAATTACGTTTAAAATCACCAAACAAATGTAATGCTACATAGTGCAATGTAATTTGATGCGATTTAATGTAATGTAACTTGATGTAATGTTATGTAATAATACGTAATGCAATGTGATGTCATATGAAAATCGTCAATAATTTCCCGTATTAAAACACCAGGTAGCGAGCACCGTGTATATATCGATCAGCTTTTTGTTTTTTGCTTATTCATTCTCACGAAAATGTTACTAAAACGAGGATAAATAAATAGAAGTTTAACTTTTATGTTGAAATAATTTTGTAAAAATAATTTTGAATTGAACTTGGCAAAGATAGAATATCTTTTTGAATCAGCCAGACTGGCCGAAGATATAATATCCTCTTGAATCAGACAGAGCAAAGATATATCTCTTTGAATCAGACAGGATAAAGATATAGTATCATTTTAAATCAAACGGTGCCATCATTATAGAAGGCGTCATTCTGTTGGGCATCGACGATATTTGGCTCCCCCTCTGGCCAAAACCATAGCAGCCACAAACTACCAAGAATTGAAACTACAACAAATACATAGCAGAGAAATCTATTTATAACATTTCCTATTTCTATCCACAGCTTCCTGTTAGCAGTAGTTTGGAATTCTGAGGTTAAAGTTTCGTTCGTTTCTAGAAGGAGGGGTTTCAGTTTCATTAACGTCCTTATTTCGTCCATCATATTGTAAAATTTTGCACGCAGATTTAGGTTGCTAGGTTTGGATTTATCATTCTCCGATTGAAATACTTTTAATTGGGAGTTATTTTTAAATGTTTTTGAAGATTTTAGTTCATCTTCAAAATTAGAATTCTCAAACTTGGTTGACGAATGAGTAGAACTGTAACAGGCAGACAAAAATGTTTTACGATTCTTGAAACCTTTCAAAAATTTCATTTCTTCAATTAATTTCGCGACGACTTTCATAGATTCATCGTTCTCGCCTGAATGCTCAACTACTTGACAGCCTAGGCATGCATTTATACGGTCTTGTCTGATTTCATCTTGAATAATTTCGATTGATTTTTGAATATTTGCGTAGAGAAGATGTAAATGTTCAATCGAACCATTCTTAAAATTCGTAAAAATTGAATTTTTTGGCGTCCATATTGTCTTTTTCTTCATGCCAATCAGAGTTCTTAATTTTTTTAGCACCAATGTTTGAAGCCAGATTGGAGGCGGCTTGGTTTCGCTATGGTAGTGCAAAATTAAAATGACTATTGACGAGAAAAGAGCCAGTGTAGCCATGAACATCACGAAAATGACGTAAACCGCTGTTTCAGTTGTGAGAAAATTATTATTTTTTAGAACTTCTCCGATCAAATTTTATGAAAATTTTACAAAAAATATGATTAATTAGCAATAATCAGCATATTGTAAATCAAATGTAATAAATATAATCGACAACAGATGAATTTGTTAAAAACCTCACTCAAACAAGGTATGTAATCGCCGGACTCTGGCAGGACAAAAAACATCGAGTTGAGGAAGAAGTTAAATGATAAGAGGACAGTAATGCTGAAACTAATTTTCCGATTGGAAGAAGGTGGAGTAAGAAAGACGAACATCACCACAAGAAACGACAGAACGCATGGAAACACGAAGTAGGTGAAGTATTATAGAGGGTCCCTTTTTAGGTAAAATATAAAAATCACCTCCGAGTAACTCATGTGTGTCAGTTCATACGTGTGAACTATTCTTTTCACCTAGCCACGTATGTGTGTACGTGTGTGAGAGAGAGAAGAGAGAGAGAGAGAAAGAGAGAGAGAGAGAGAAAGAGAGAGAGAGAGAGAGAGAGGAAGAGAGAGAGAGAGAGAGCGTTTGTATGTGTGACGTGTGTGTGTTGAACGTAAATTGTAAAATGAGACAAATTTTAAATACATTTATATGAAGTTACTAAACACAATTACGTTATGAAATAATTGAGTATAAAATAGTATAATAGTATAATTTATAATAACACAAATGATAATTAACAAAATACCTTGGTGTCAACAATATGCCATTGTCCAAATGGTGCCATGTAGTCAACTTCGATTTTGTTAAATTTAGCACGCAGTTTTACCTGAGAATAATTCTCAAATTTTTCAATTTTTTAAATAAAATCACTAAAAAACTGTGAAAAAATGATCTTATCTATTCAAACATCTCAGAAATTTATTTTGAAGATCAGATTTTATTATTAAATATAAAAATTTGAAAAAAAAATACATAAAGAACGTCACGTAAACACCAGCCACCTACCTGTTCTTTAGTATAAGCCCAGATGTCGAAACCTATGTAGCAAGTCTGCACGTCAAATGGAAAATAAGTCAAATCTAATTTACAAAAAGTCGTCGTCTCCTTCAAAAGGTCCAATGACATTTCTCCCTTTGACGATATGATGACTTCTTGGAGTGAGTTTTCCGTCAAGCCGTCGAAAAATCTTTCGTTTCTGTGGATTCATTTGGCGTTTTGTTAGTAACTAACTTGATGGTTTTGGAATTTTAATTTTACAGTTTTTGTAAAATAAATTGACATTTTGTAGATTATTTTGGCACCATATACGCCAAGAAATGGTTCCTAGTAAAACAATTGAGTAGTTCATACAAAATAACACTATAAACGTCTGAGGTGCTTTTGGTTTAGAAAGAGAAAGAGAGAGAGAAAGGGAGAGAGGAAAAACACGCATACACACACGCACCCATTTTTCACTGAAACGTCAGGAATCCAAACGTCAGAGGCCATAACTACGATGGAGGGAATGTTATTGTATTCACTTTCATTCCAGGCCAGATTCGCATCACTCCACCTCTTTTGGAAAATTTTAAAAATTCAACGGTTTGTTAATATTTGTTATTGTTGTATGTTTGTTTGTTAACATTTGTTATTGTTGTATGTTTGTTTGTTAACATTTGTTATTGTTGTATGTTTGTTTGTTAACATTTGTTATTGTTGTATGTTTGTTTGTTAACATTTGTTATTGTTGTATGTTTGTTTGTTAACATTTGTTATTGTTGTATGTTTGTTTGTTAACATTTGTTATTGTTGTATGTTTGTTTGTTAACATTTGTTATTGTTGTATGTTTGTTTGTTAACATTTGTTATTGTTGTATGTTTGTTTGTTAACATTTGTTATTGTTGTATGTTTGTTTGTTAACATTTGTTATTGTTGTATGTTTGTTTGTTAACATTTGTTATTGTTGTATGTTTGTTTGTTAACATTTGTTATTGTTGTATGTTTGTTTGTTAACATTTGTTATTGTTGTATGTTTGTTTGTTAACATTTGTTATTGTTGTATGTTTGTTTGTTAACATTTGTTATTGTTGTATGTTTGTTTGTTAACATTTGTATTGTTGTATGTTTGTTTGTTAACATTTGTTATTGTTGTATGTTTGTTTGTTAACATTTGTTATTGTTGTATGTTTGTTTGTTAACATTTGTTATTGTTGTATGTTTGTTTGTTAACATTTGTTTTGATGTTCCTACCACNNAAATATCACCCTATTTCAACTACTACAAAGTGCTAAAGATCGGGTTTTNTGGAGGTCGATGGTCGCCAATGCACTGAAAGGAACAGGCACGACGAAGAAGACCACAAAATCTCACCGGTTTGTTAATATTTGTTGATGATGTTTTTATTACAGAGCCATTAGACGTAAATATTTTTTAAAGAGTGGCAAACCAGCAATTTCGGTTTGCTAATAAGAGAAAAATTGAATAAATACAAAATATTTGTTGATCCTTTTAAGATTTTCGCCCGAAAATACGTGGCCCATATCTGCACACTTGGTTTTGGTATAGAGTTAAAAGTTGTAAAGGTATAAAGTTGTAAAATCGTCAAAATATATTGCACATCAAAATTTTTATTAATAAAATCTTGAATTGAAATCAGGATTGTTATGGCTAAACATTGTCAGTCATTGTAGTTCATAAAATTTACAATAAAAAGCGATCTACTAACTAATTTTATAATTCCCAAACAGCTCATCGTTTGTCTTCTTTCATTCTAAATTTGAAAAAAACAAGTAAGTAAATAAATATAAATTATAAATATATAATAAATAGAAATAATAATAATAATCTTCGAGTATTAAATGAATTTAAATAGCACGAATGAATACAGTTATTTATGCGTATATATTGGTGGGTATTTATAGATTTACAAAAGCCAGTATCAAAAAATTTCTAATTAGAGACCAGAAAACAATCATTTTTTATTTAGATTTTCAGAAATAACAAAAAGGAACCCCGAATTTTAGCGTATGCAGGTCGTAATCGATGGTGACAAGTGGAGCGTTGTTGCTGATGTCAGGCGTAGGTCGTATGGCAGAGTTGTAGCCATGAAACAGTGCCCAAAATAGTTTGGCCTCTGACGTGATTATCATAATTTATTCTTCTGATGGGATTATCATAACTTATTCATAATGTATTGTATTGTATTCGTAATGAATATTTATAAAATGGAGATCTAATCTTTATTTATTAATTTATTCATCTATTATGTATTATTGTGCCTGTACCTATATATTAGCCTTGTTATAAAAAATTTATGCAAACGAAGTATTAATAATATTATAAAGCTAACCTTGGCAAGTACATTCAGACGCACTTAATAATAATAACACTAATATTATTATGACAATTTTATTGTTAAACATTATTATGATTATCATTATAGTTTAAACAATATTCTAACAATTTTAATAGACATACGATTAATGAGTCACTTGCACGTGTTAAACTTTCATGATATGTAAAACAATGGCCGAATTTTTTGGCGAACCCACAAAAAGTTTATAAAAAATATAGTTTAACGCGTGCACATGCATCCAAATCTTCAGTGCGGGTATTTCTTAGATATTTTCACACAAGATAAAAAAAACCAAAACGACCGTGAAACAAAAGTATAAAAAAAATTTGATTTCTGTCAAAAAAAACTGAAGAAAAGTAACAAAGGTACTAAAAATAAGACGGACAAACAATACAACCTTGTCCTAAATATCGATTTTGATTGAAATTTTCAGGTAAAAACTTATCGAAAAGAAAATTTTTCTTTTTTTGAATTTTTTTTAGAGTTTAAAGAGTTTCCTTTTTTCTCATGTCGGTATTGTTTCTGAGAAATAATATCTTGGTGTGAGAATCCGATTTTATTTTTAAAATTTTTATTGATTCTCTTTTGGGCTTGACCTTGTTTTAGTTTTAATAAAAAATACAGTAACTAAATGAATAGAAATGGCATTTATCAATTTTATTTCGATTTTCGCGGATTTTTTTAAAATGGTAGCACCTAAATCAGGCAATAATCACATTTTAAAATCGATAAATATAGATAATAGATAAATATAACATGTAAAATCTGACATGTAGATATCTTCTGTTAATAAATCGCATTGGAATCAGTTGTAACAATTGTTATTTTTAACACAAAATGGAAATATATAAATAAAATGTTAATATGAAAAATACGAAAAAAATATATTTATATAAATAGATTAATAAATGAATAAAAAATGTCCGATTGAAATGTAACAAATGAAATATATGACATAAATAAACGTCGTTTCATTGCTAAACCACTCGATTAAAGTTCAAATTTATTTTCATTTCTTAAAAAAACTCATTAAAAAAATTTTATTCCACTTAAGAGCAACTTGATCGAAACGACATCTCACGGACCGGACTCAGGCAGAAACCACAGCAACCAACAACCGCCAAAAACTGAACTGACGATAAAAATATAAAAGATGATTCTGTTCATCACGCTAGCCATCTCCATCCATAGTTTCTTGTTCGCTATGACGCTTGATTCGTGGTTTAAAGTTTCGTGCACCTTATTCAGCAGCGGTTTCAGCTTGACCAGAATCTCGATGTCAGCTATTAAAGTTTGAAAATCATCAAGAAGGTTAATGTTTTGATAGTTTTTTTTAATTCCTCCTAATGTTGTAGCAGTATTTTTTTCAGTTTTTGATCCACAAGTTAAGATTTTTAAGGATTTCAGTTTAGTATTGGGAACTGATTCATTGGCAGTTTGAAAAACGTTGCTATGAAGATCCACATTCTCCATACTTTCTCTCACACTTTTGAAACGTTTTATAAACTTTGTCTTTTCAATCAGCTGGCATATCAAATTTATACCATCTGGACTCTCATCATCATATTTCATTTGGTTATTGTGGAACTCTAAATAACCCTGATTTACCTTCTTCTGAATGTAGTTGACGTACCTTTCGATATTTTCAAACAAAAACTGCAGATGATCAATAGTCCGGCTGACGGATTTGTTTTGAAGACTGTTTTCCAGAGTCCACGTTGTTTTCCTTTTCATTCCGATAATTTTTCCCAACTTCTTGAGAACGATTGTTTGGAGCAGATCTGGCGGTGGTCTGTCTTCGTCGTGATAGTGCATCGTTAAGATGAGTATCGTCGAGATTAGGGAGAAAGATGCCAGGAACATGACGAAAATTACGTAGAGGGCTGTTGTGTATGTGAGTGTGTGTATGTGTGTGTGAGTGTGTGTGTGAGTGTGTTGTTTTTTGCGTATGTCTGAATATTGTTTATTCACGAGTTTTAAATTTCATGATTGTATGTTCATCAATAAACCGACTTAACAATGTTAAACGAAATAAACTTCGAGTTAACTACATGCAAAACATATATTCTAAATGATTTTAACCATTATGGTATCTCAAATCTTTGATTACGTAAACAAATTTATCTAACTGAGATACGGAGTCTCAGACTTGGGGAGGACGTTGAAAATAGTAGTGAGGAAAAAATGGAAAGACAACAAGACGGTGATGCTGAAGTTGATGCTCTCCTTGGAGTCAAATGGATTGAGAAAGACCATGAGAGCGGACAGAGATGAAACTATGCATGGGTAGATGAGGTAGGTAAAATAAAATTGAGGATCTCTTTTCAGGTAAAGTATAAACGAAACTTCGGAGTAGTTTCTCTGCGATCTTCTGAATATTCGCATGGATTCTTTTATCTGATTTTTGAGGTGAGAAATTAAATCTGATTTTAAAAAATTTAAAAATTTGTATTGTGAAATAGAATTATATAAATATAAAACTGGATGTAAACTATTGAAAATAAAACTTGAAAAAAAATGTTTGTCTCGACTTCCGTATCGATAATGTGCCACTGGCCGTGCTGTTTGCTGTTGCTCAAAGTTATCTTCGTCGCATTCGATTTCAGTTCTACCTGTCATTTTTAAAAATTTTGCTCAAAGTGTATCAAATAGTAAAAAATAGCTACATATAGTGGAGTAATTTGAATGGAACTTGAAATTTGTGAAAAATTTTTCATCCTGCCACCTTTATGTTGCAACACGTAGCAACTATTAATGACAACATGGTATATATTTTTCAGTTTTCTAGATTCTTTTTTGTTTCATTTTTACAAATTTTTGCTGCTTTCATGCTTGCTTCATTTCAAAAATTCAAACAACAACAACGTAACTAACAGTGCCAGAACGGCCTAGAAAAAAACAACTCCATTAACTTCGACTAGCAACATTAAACCTGGTCACCGCACATCAGTCAAGTTAAAAATGAAACCTAAAAACTTCAATTTAACACACATACTACAAACACACACACACACTCTCTCTCTCTCTCTCTCTTTTTCTCTCTCTTTTTCTCTTACTCACTCACACACACACTCACAAACAGACACAAATACTACATAACAATTCAACATTTGGGCCTGATAAAACGAAAATCACTCTCAAGATACACCGTAACAACCCAACGCCCGGAAAAAAAACATTCAAAAAACCTGTTTCGTTGTGTAAGTGAAGCTATCCATGTTAATTTCACACGTCTGCTTATCGAATGGAAAATAAGCCATGGAGAGATTACACATGGTGGTTGTTTCTCGCAGGAGGTTGAAGTAGACTTCGCCATCTGATGTTATGGTCACCATATCATTTGAGGTGTTGTCCAACACGTGGATGATTCGTTCCGGTCTGTTTGAGTTGGCGACCAGCGAGATGGAATATGGCCGTGGGGTAGTGCTTTTTGTTTGCTTGGTTAGGTGAAAGAGAAAGGGAGAGAAGAAGAGAGAGAGAGAGAGAGAGTATGTTTGTATGTATGCTTGTGTGTGTAGGCCTTTGTGTGAATGTGTGTGTGTGTGTGTGTGTGTCTGATTTATCGGCCTTTGTTTAAGTTATTGTTTTTTATTTGGATTTGTAAGGCTAAAGAGAGACAAAGGGAGAAAGAAAGAAAGGAAGTGTGTGTTTGCTCTGTATATGTGTGGTGGTGTGTTTAAATGTGGTGTGTATGTGTACGTGTAGGTATGTGTTGTATTAATTAGATATTGATGTAACCCACCCATTTTTTATTGAAACATCAGGCATCCAGACATTCACGGCCGGGACAGAAATTCTTGAGATGTTGTCGAATTCACTCTCGTTCCAGGCCAAGTTCTCGTCATTCCAGTGCTATTGTTTGTTTGTGAGTGTGTGTGCGTGCGTGTATGTGCGTGTGTTTGTTATGGTGTGCGTGTGTATGTGTGTGTGTATGTTTGTTTGTGGGTTTGTTTATTTAAAATGCGTTCATGCAGCGAATGAACTAACAATTTTTATGATGCCAAATGCATTCATCGCGTTTTCTTTCTCCAGCTGAAATAGAAAATTAAAAACAATTGATAATAAAAGTAATAACAATTAATAATTTGCATATTAAACCGGTAACGATAATTTTCTCTCACCCAATTAACTCCTTTCATCAGATATATCAGCAACAAGCACACAGTGCATACGAATACACGTGTATTAATTCATCACACACAGGCGTCACATTTGACAGGGGCATATCTGTTTGCATTCGAAGTCAGTCACAGCGACAGAAGTGCCAGACACCTTAACCATTTCACCATAACGGAATCATGACTAACAATTGAGGCCATTGAGAACAGTTGGTAATCTAATGATACGACGACTGGACCGCGTCTGTTGATTACGGGCCGGGCTACCGAATTGTAGTTGTGAAAAAGTTTCCAGACTAGATCAGCCTCTGTTTGTGAATTTTTCCATTTATTAGTTTATTATTAATCATTTTCCAAATTATCATCAGCAATACTAAACTATTTCACGCCTACATTTCTTGGCCAACCTTTGTAAGAAGCACATGAGACCAACGCCAACAATAACAACGCGACTGATTCAAACATTCTCGAAAAGATTAAAGTAACTAATTAAATAAAATTAAATAACTAAACGAGAAGATTTTATATATGTTTCATTTTCAATTTTTTAATGGAATTATTCAAATAGTCATAATCATGAAAACGCTGACTTTAATGTCTCTATCAAATCAACCAAATTTTTTTTTCAGCCTTCAATGATATCAACTGTACGTCTTTTAACTCCAAGCTATGGCAAAAAAAAGTAATTTACAATGAAATAAAACTATTATTTATCAAAACATGGTTTGTATATTTATAGATATATAACCTAATATATATAATAACAACGTCTTTAATCCGAAATTACAAACAAAATTTGTATTCAACAAAATATGCGCTTATAACAATAGAATTAATTCTAGGCTTTAGTTAACAAATTTTAATTTATAATAAGATGACACGCCTGCCAACAACGTCGGTGACCTATAAAATTTTCAAAGAGAGCGCTCGGCTTGTTTTGTTGAAGTTGCGTATATCTAGAAGGAAAGAAAGATGAGATGACTCACCGTATCAATAACAATACAAATAAAGGAACAACATCGTCGTTTGAGTTTGTAGTGATGTCGATTCTATATATGTCTGTTTAACTGTTTGTCTGTCTGTCTGCTTGTCTGGCTGCCGGTCTGTCTGTCTCTTTGCCTGATTGTATGAAAATTTTTCAGGTAAAAAATGAATCGATGTGTGGTGAATGTTTCAGCATAAATGCGTAGAAAAGATGAGGTAGTAGTAGTTGTAGTAGTAAGTAGTAAAAGTAGAAGAAGAAGTTATTAAATTATTTCAAATTAGACTGATTGATTATTTCAAATTAATTGATTGATTGATTGACTGATTATTTCAAATTAATTGATTGATTGATTGATCTATTGAGTAATTGATTGATTGGATAGATTGATCGATTAATTGAGTGATTGGTTGGATTGATTGATCAATTAATTTAGTTACAAAAATAGCCAAAAATAATGTTTCAAAAAGCTTTTTGTTCATTCTAAACAAGCATAATTAGTAAAAAACAAGATCAAACGATATATTATTATTGAAAAATTTTATCGAAAAATAAAAAAATTCCCAACAGAATCAAATAAAACTTATAAACAAACGAACGAACGAACGACCGAACGAACGACCGAACGACCGAACGAACGAACGAACGACCGAACGGACAAACAAACTATCAAAAACAAAAAAAAATTTTCTCATTAAGTCACGCACACGAAAAATAATTGTCCTTAAATCAATGCACAAGATGTTTAAAACAATTGTCCATATATGTATCAATTTTATAAAATCCTCACTCACACACTTAACACACGCACACAAAAACACACTCACGCACGCACGCATGCATGATGAGAATTGTCAGGTAAACTGTCACAGAAATCATGTAAAATTTATTTATTAATATATGCTTCTTTAAGTCACACACACACACATATATATATAAATATATTATATATATATATATATATATATATAGAAGAGAAAGAGAGAAAGAGATAGAGAGAGAGAGAGAGATAAAGATTTCATAAAATTATATTAATACATGCTTTATAAATTTATTTATCAATACGTATTGATGCTGTATGCAACGAAAAAATAATTTTCATCTTCACACAAACACACACACACGCATACAGACACACACACACACATGCACACATACAGACGCACACTCAAACAGATACACACAGGGTAAACGATTAACTATAAAAAATATCGACGATAGCTATTTATTATGAAGAAACTGTCGTTCTGTATAAATAATAAAAGTATAATTAGTTATAATTTTATAAGTTTATAATAAAATAATAATTAACAAATAAACGACTACCTAACCAAACAAACAAAGAAACAAACTATCACTAATTATTATTCTTTGGTATCAAAAATAAATCAATAAACACAGCAACAACGCTAATGAAAATGTATCTACATATATAAGTAACGAATTGATAATAATAATACGAATAATAAAAACCAAATAATAATAATAATAATTAGTAGTAGTAATAGTATTAATAATAATAATAATATTATTATTATTATTGTTGTTATTGTCTCCATCATTTAATGTAATATCAGTCAACAATGTAATGATCTATAGTCGGTGCGTCATTACCATGTAAAACCTCACCGCTTTGATTTCTACCAGTATCACCATCATCCTTACCATCGTTACTTTTATTACATTCATCATCATTCAGGGATGTGCCCGTCTGATGTACTTTATTATATTCGGCTGAGTAACCGATTGTTCTGCCGACCGTTTCTGACTGGTAGTAATATTCGACGGACTCTGCCGGAATTAGGCAAGGCATTTGTGGATCAGTTATACTGGATTGTACGTCGGTGATTTTGGTTGTTAATGCCTTGTCGTCGTCATCTTGTTTATTATTACCGGTATCTGTATTAGTATCGTTATTATCGGTTTTCGTATCGGTATTATCTCTATTATTGTTATCGTCATTATCGTTGATGGATTCAGTTATTTTTTTTTTGCCGAAATCGTCAAGACATCCCAAATGTTCTTTAAATTCGGATGATATTAATTTCTCACCTTCCATTGGCTCTTCATTAACGTTCCTCAAACAACCAACCCCTGCACAATCGTACGACTTACTACGTATAAAACGACTCCTCAATTTCTGTTTCGAGACGCGAGATTTTTTCGTAAACGTCTGAGATTTAACTCCTAACTGAACAAATTCAGGATCAGTTGATTTCGTTAAGGGACAAGCAGCATTGAGAATTGGTGGCATGGATTTGTATGCGGTGTCTCTATGATCCGAGCTGCTAGAGGATTCATCATTATCGATATGATGCTTCAAGTGGTAATTTCGTTGCGAAACCATCTCGGGGATAATATCGGTTGTGTTAGACATGGACGTTACCTGTTTTTCGAAACCTCTTACTGAAGTTGTCTGCGACGGTCCATCAGAAAAACTATTGCCGTACTTCCCTAATCGAGGAATTTTCACTTGGATATCGGCGACATTTGAATGGGTTTTCGTAGATTTGAGATTATTATTTCGAGAATATTTTTTTAAGAACTGCGATGTCTTTAAATGTTGGCTCGAATGCTGCTTAGCGTAGAACTGGGATAGTCTAGCAGGAGTCAGGCGTAATGACATGTTCGTATCTCTTGTAGTAATTTCAATGTTCTTAGATTGACTCTCGTTGTTAGCCAGGTTTTGTGCGTTATTTTCCGCTAAATTAACTGATTTTGACGTGTCGATTACTTTTGGTCTTGATCTGGCGTTTAATTTATTTTTAGAACTTGACATTTTATAAACGCCATCGTCAGCTAAATCGTCGCTCCGTTTCAACTGCTGCTTCAATGAATTACTCGTCACCATTCTCTTGTAAGATTTCTTGGAAGATTGACCAAAGCTAACTTTTAAACGCTTATTTATTTCACCATAGTCAACGTCATCATCGTCCTCGTCAACATCGTCATCAACAACAACAGTAGATGACGTCATGACTTGAGATTTTTTGTTTCTTTGCGACGAGGTTTCAAATTGCCTATGCAGTGGATGTCTCTTGCTCGGTTGGCTGCCTGTCCTGTACCTGTAGAAAGAAAAAGATAACTTTTGAAGACATTTTTTTAGTTCATCTTGTATTTTTCATTTGTTCATGATTATTCGCCCTATATTACTACTATTTTAAAATATTCTTAAACTTTTACCCCGCCAAGGTCATACTACGGTTGACCTTTTTCTTTTCGTCATCTTCAGGGTGTGGTGCGACATCCCTATCGTTGAGCCAATCATCATAGAGGTGAGGCTGGTACCTTTCAACAAAGCAATCCATGTTGATCTGGACCATCTCTTTGATGCAGTAGCACTGTTTTTGTATGTTGTTTGTATATTTGTAGTTTTTATGTGTGTATGCGGTTTGTATGGTGTTTGTATGTTGTTTGCATGTTGCATGTGTGCATTCTGTTGTATTGTTTGTAAGCTGTTTGTTTGTATACTATTTGTATGCTGCCATATTGTTTGTATGTTTGCTGGTGTACATTTAAATGTTGTATGCTTGCATCTTGTTCGTTTGTATGTTTGTTGACTGCTTGCATTAAGTTGTTTATATGTTTGTTTGTTCCTTATATGAGGTTGTTTGTATGTTTGTTGATTGTACATGTATGTTTGTTCATATGTTTGTTGCTTGTATGTGGTTGTTTTTATGTTTGTTTGTTGAACGTCTGTATGTTGTATGTTTGTATGTTTGTATGTTGTACGTTTATATGTTGTATGTTTGTATGTTGTATGTTTGTATGTTGTATGTTTGTAGGTTGAACGTTTGTAGGTTGTATGTTTGTATGTTGCATGTTTGTATGTACACAAAACCAACTCTTTTGCATCTCTTCCCGTACTCAATCCACCTCTCAGTAGCAAAGTTTGTTGATTCGGCGCAGTTGAATCCGTGGTTGAAACCGGCATGGTAGGAGTAAGGAAAGGTTATCATTATCTCCCCTTCTTCTTGGACCATCTGTTGATGGATGGACGAATAAATGGATGGATGAATGGATGTATGGATAAATGAATAAATGGATAGACGAATTAAGAGACTGATAAAGTTAAATTTTTTTCAACAATTTTCCTAAAAGAGAGATTAAGAAATGAAAATGTCAAACCTTATTGAATGGTACGTTGAACTTTTTAAGAATGAGTGGAGATAACAGACAGGACTTGTGCCTCAAATAAGCAGGACACTTGTCTGCCTTGTTCTTGAAAAACACTGGTGATGACGATGAAGATGTTGAGGAAAATTATGACGATGACGATGATGATGGTAAGATTGGTGATGGCAATGATAAAGATAAAGATAGCGATGACGTTGATTGAAACTATGACGTTGATGACGTGTCAAAAACTATAAAGTAATTATTATTAAAGACAGAAATTGAACAAACTTTGAGCTACTCTTTCAAGCCGGCGTCCGAATTTCGGCGGGACTGCATACCAAAACTTTGGCGCTCCAAAGTGTAAATAGTTGATGCTGTAGATAATATGGGAAAAAACAAAAAACAACATTCAAGCCTTCAAAAAATCCTTGACATCTCAAGTACATCCCACTCAACCCACCTATAAAGATCCATGTCTTCAGTGTGCCAAGCAAATGCAGACTTCCACATGCCAAAGTAGAGATAAGCCGTGTTGACACCCTCTATCTTAAGACCACCCTTGCCCTCGTCCCCCAAGGTGGCAAACACCGAATCCAATATGGTGTTCAAGTGGCCTGTGAATGAGATGCTTGCGAGTGAAACGATCATCATGTTGTAATGATAATGGTAACACATAGGAAACGGACAAACAAACCTATATTCCAGACGTGCTGATCTTCATCAAAGAGAGACCCAGACACGTCAGCCCCGTACAGGGCGGGGTTATACGAAACGTTTGTCCAATAGCGGCGTTCCAAATCGTCAGCATCAGTGTGGTAGGGCGTGCTGTGTCTATGTAGCAATCATTACTTGTTAAGACCGTTAGTTATGACGACATAATAAGCAACGCATACACACATACAGACACACAAAAAAACAAACAAACATACACAGACTAACTCTTTATTATGTGCCTTAGCTTTAAACTCATCCACAGTCATTCCTCCCTTCTTCAGCTTACGTGGCTCTATGTTGAACACTTCATACACTCCTTCACGACCTGTATTACAAAAAAATATTTAAAAATTATGTTAAACAATTATATGTGCGTATATGTGTGTGCGCGTGTATGCATGTGTGTGTGTGTGATTACACGAAATAAATAGACAAACACTTTCACATACATACATAAACACATACAATATACATTTATAAAAATAATATAAACACGTTTAATTGAAAAACAAAACAATTTGAATTAATTGGCTGCTGCCAACCTGAAATCTCTTGTGTGATTGGACAGGGAATAACCAGGTGACCAATATCATGGTAACCATTCTTCCTAACTACCCACTCTTTTGGGGGTATTATCTGCAAATATCAAGAAAAAAATATACCACAAATAATGCAACAACTTAACTAACCAACTATTCAATATATTATATATATAATATAAATGAGAGGTTATTTCGTATAAGAATTATTTTAGAAAATTAATAATTGAAATAGATAACATCAATAAAAAGAGTTTATTTTATTTACAACCTTAGCCAAACCAGCCAAATGGGCCCCCTGCTTTTCAATCTTGGCTATGTACTTCGAGAAATCTTTGAATTCGCTCATTGTTGGTCTGAAGACCATGATCTTCAAGTTGTCCATGATGGGCGATTAATCAGTTTTATTGTAGTAGTTAGTAGTAGAAATCTGAATAAATAAAAATTTATTTTCTGTAATAGTGTAATGAGTACAATTTTCATCATCCTGTGATTTCATTAGTGAACTAGTTTTAACTTTTAATCAACACTATAATACTTGTCTAGCTAGATTATTTTTAGTAGTTTAAAAAAATAGAAATAGTGCTTTATTTTATGCATAAAAGAATAAATTAAATTAAATTAAGAAATTAAGAAGAGCATTAAAAATCAAAAATGTTTCAATCTTTATCTTTCTATTCTGCTTTTTTGCTTAGCTTAATTAACTTAACAAGTTCTTAGTTGTGAAATTTTAAATTTTAATTGTTGAATTAATAGTTCTTTTATTTTTACATATGCTACACTCGAATAATTCCTAATTAATGCCGGATCTGACTTTATTCACGATGAAAGTAAAAAAAATAATCATAACCTGCTATCTGGTATTTCCTTGCAAAATTTTGGAATGGAATGGAAGGTAGCTAAACAACTCCCAAAAGAAAACGTGGCAAATTACAGGAATGAATCGATCAAAATGTCAATCGCAAATTAGGCATAAAGTTATTTCAAAACTAGTGAAAACATTCTTTTTTAAATGAAACGATCGAATCATAGATTAGGAAAATTTAATTATTAAATGCACCAATTAAAACTAAAACATCTGCGAGTATAACTAATGGCCGCAACAAAACATTCAATGGTTGATCAGCTGTTGTTGTAGAAGTTATATTGTTTTCCTAATTTATAATTAAGATATAACTTAAAAATAACATTTGTTTCAACTAATCGAACATCAAATTTAATAATTTTAAATATTGAAGGTATTTTTAAAAGTAAATGTTAATGTGAAACAATTTTTAAATGAAATTTTTATTTAAATGGCCGGCTGATCAGCCTGTCTTGCAGTAGTTAGTACTGAATTTCATTGTTATTTTGGCTTATTTATTCATTAAATTATTAGTTTTTTCATTCATTACTTATTTGTTTTTATGTTTCTTACATGTATCAATAAAACTAAACCAAGTTTTTTTATGAGAAACCAGCTTTAAATTTTTCTTTTTCAGTCAAAAAATGCCAAGCATTTATCAGCAGTTACCGAGACAGTTCAGTTAGAGCGCACTTTCAAATAACAGTTTTACTTTTTGGCGTGCACACTTATTTGTAACAAAAATTATTACCCAAGTTGGGCAAATCCATTTTCCTCATTACTTTTTAAAGCACACAAAAGCCAAATGCTAAATGCTCTGAAAGATTTTTTTAGTCCAAGATGCTTTGCATTGCCTTTTTTAGTGTAGTCTGCCCAGATAACAATTACCATTCTACTCTAATATTTATTTTAATATGTATTTTTAATTTGTTTTGTGTGGTTCCAAATTAATGATTATTAATTTTATAATTTTTACTATTTTGTCATGTTACACACACACACACACACACACACACACACACACACACACACACACACACACACACACACACACACACACACACACACAGACACACACACACACACACACACACACACACACACACACACACATGTACAAACTTATTTAATTGAGAACTTAATGAAAAAAGCATAAGATGGAAATATAAATCTTTGTATAATATATATAAATGTATGTATATTATATACTATCTTTATCCAATATATATATATATAATTATGTGTATGTGTGTGCATGTGCATATGTGTGTATATTTAGTATGATCAAATTAGTTGAAAATTCTAAGAATTCATATTATTATTCTAAAATAAGCCACACCATTCTAGAATGTTCTTTCGAATTTTTGTCTCATTTTTTTTTCATTTAATTTATTTATATGAAAACAATTTTTACTGGTTTTTGTGAACTTTAATAAACATTTTTTATTTTATTATTTTGAGAGAATTTTCAAAATTTAAAAAAAAATCAAATTAATGCTTAATTTTTTAGCGCTATAGGCTGGCCAGACAGATCATAGTACAGATTTGTTAATTTAAATTTTGAAAAACTATGACAAAATAATTTTTTGTTCCAGATTATGAATGAAACAGTTTCTATAAAAACCATAGATAACTTGAAGAATTCACTGTGAAATTAGTGTCATATTCACCCTTGTAACTTTAAAGTTATGAGAAAAATGTTTCAATATATTCTGGCATCTACCGTTTTATACTTTTGTGGTACCATCTTGGCAGGTTTTTATATTCAGTTTTTTTGTTTTTCATGCTTTAAATTAATACTTACCTAATTTTGGAGTTGTTGTTATAGATAGTATTATAGTTAAATATTAAATGTTCACTATGAAATGTGATATTATAGTGTATAAATATCTTTCTTATCTCATCTGTCATATATTTTTTCTTCATAACAGGTACGTCTGACCCAACCATAGAAAAATGCATTCAATCACTTGATAAGTTAATTCAGCACATCCCTACTTTACCCAAATCCACATCCAGTTTCTACTTCCCTGACTGGATTAGTGATGTTCAGCCCCATGCGAAAAGATGTTTAGGAAGTGAAGATGAGAATGACGACGACGATGATGATGATGATAATAAAGAGGATGATGATGATGGTGATGATAAAGACGATGATGAAGCCGGCGAAAATATTGAAAATGATGATGATTTTGAGGATAATAATCGTAAAAGTAATAATAATAATAAAAATGAAACAAAGGGATTACATATCATCCATGTTTTATCACCATCACTTCTTCCTTCTCCATCCTCACCACCATCATCATCATCTTTGTCGTCATCACCGCAAATTTCATCATTATCTTCGCTACTATCACCACCATCATCATCTATGGAAGACCAACAAAAACAACGTTGCATCACTTTGCAGTTGAACCTGGAGAATCTGGGCTACCCTGGCAAGTCACAGCCCACACTCACCTTTATAAATAACTTGCCGGATCTGGAAAGCATTGTAGATTATAAAGTTGACGACACCAATAACAACAGTATCACAAACAGTTACAGCAAGTACATTCGAATCAACAACATCACCCACAACAACAGCAATAACATCAAATATCAAAACAAGCTTGACCAAACTAGCAAAACTAATGGCAGCTACCAAAGCAGCAACAACGGCATTTCTAACGACAATAGCAACGACAACGATGACGTCATCTATCGCAACAAGCTTATCATCATTAAGATGCCGGCAAATTATTCTTTAAATGTCGTAGCGCACAATTACACTGGCCGGCTGCTATTGGTTGTTAGTAGTCATATATATATATATTTATTTAAATAATTTATTTAATTTTTATATTTTAATTTACATTTTGGGTACAGACAAATTCGCTAGTTAATTATAGCTCTACCGAATCTGAGTTTTCATTGGATGTCGTCTATGAGGATTTTAACGACATGCAAGATATAGAGGTTTACAACTGGACCAATCAGAATTATCCGGAATACAGGGTCACCTCCTATTGGCTAGTCCCTCCAACCAATCATATTGAAATTATTTTCAAACGGGATCCAAATATATGTATGTCTCTAACGGCGCTACTCATATTAAAATTTTTATTCTCTTTATCCACTTTTGTATGATGAAAATGATGACGACGACGATGATGGTGATGATAATATTATGGATGATGATGATGATAATATTATGGATGATGGTGATGATGACGTCTATAATTATAAAGTTGAGTTATTCGTACCAACGTACCCCTAAATATTGTTCACCTCCATCAAAAAAATCTCGTCCAAACCCACCTACCCAAACAATCTATTCCTTTAAACAATCCACCCACCCACCAAAAAAACAAACCACCCGCCCAAACAATTTACCCGCCCAAACGACCACCCACCGACAGCCCCATACGGCAGACCCTACTTTGGGACACGCGACCAGAGCTCCAACTTACCGTTGAGCGACTTTTTAGCCTGGACCCAATCGAAAATCATCTCCCAGTACATCAAAGACGACGAAGACGATCACTCCCTTGTGGCCACTGCTTTCGAGTATGTCAACGAAAACAATGACTTGAGTGAAGATGGTGTAGGGTCAAGGTCATGTAGTGGGGAGGAGTTTGGGGTCTCGAAGGAAGTTGTCGTCGCTACATCAATGGTTGCTTTCATGCTTGGCGTGCTTACTATGATTGGAATCTGGATTATTTATAATAAGACTAGTTGGTCGTTGTGTGTGTGTGTGTGTGTGTTTGTGTGTGCTGCGTTGTTTTGTCGTCTGTCGGCGTGACTGTATTGCTGCTGCTACTGCTCGTCTTGTGGCTCTCTTCTCTACTTTGAAATGATGTGTTAGAAACACTTTTAGTGAAAATGCAACTTCAAAAAATAAAATTATCAAATGTAACATCAACATTAAAGTTACACCGACGGCCAAAACATCAATGTAAGCAGCTAAAATATTTGTAAGAGCAGGCGGTAGCAGATTAACATTTACAAGCTTCATTTGAGCATGAACGAGTACTAACTAATTTCCCATTTGCAAACATACAAACAAACACATACAAACAAACACATACAAACAAACAAACACATACAAACAAACACATACAAACAAAACAAAACAGTGTGTCACAGTAGGATGAAAAGCAAGCAGCTCCCCTCCCTCTATACATCTCCAATGATGACGACAACGTTTACGACAAACTCGGCAGCGAACGCAGCTGCAGCAACTTCAGCATCTTCTTCAACTTCGGCCCTACGTCATCCCCTCCTCTATAACCAACATCAGCGTCAACCTGTCAATAACTCGGAGTCTCCGCCCTACTTTTTGGGCCAGCAAGCGATGCTTAGGACACCGGACACCAGTGGCGATTCGACGCCATGTTCCACCTCTCCTATTAACATCTGCCATCCTAAGAAAGGAAAGAAGTGAATGGATGGATGGATAGTTGGATGGCTAGTTGATTGGATAGATGGATAAATTGTAGGATAGATGGATAAATGGATGGTGGATAGATGGATAAATGTGCTGATGGATTGATGGGTGGTAAGATTGATGTACGTCTGTTAAATGAGTTTTACCGCTATAAACTAGAAGATTATGAGTAAAAAATAGAGATAAATTTGAAAAAAATTAATGGGACAGAGTAAAAAAAGAGAGAGTGTTGCATATTTTGTTGTTTTTTTCGTGAGACAAATTTTTTTTATCAAAAGGAATTTCTTTTTTTGATATCTAGGAACGATTTTTTAAACAAATTTTTTTTTCTGTTTTGTTTGTGACGTCGTTATCATTCATTGTATTTCACCGATTTTTCTTTTAGAAATTCAGTCAGTCGTTATTTTTAAAAATTGTGTTTTCTGCCTTTTTTAATTTCAGGATTTTATATCTTTATGTTTGTGAAGAAATTTGACGTATAAATGGAATTCAATTAATTTGGTTTCTTGGTTTTCAATTTTGTGAAGGTTTTTAGTCAAAAAGATGACTGAATCATGATCCTTTTGTGTTTCTTTTTTTCTTTTTTTATGTAATAAAATCCGTTTTTCTGAAAATTTTTTTTTCCGTTTTTCCGTTTTTCTCATATTTTTTAGCCAGTTGAAGTTCATCGGTTTTTTCCATTATGAGGCATTGACCTATTTCATTATGATATTATTATGATTACTACTATAATTATTGTTATCATTATTATTTTTGTTACTATTACTAATATTGTCGTTAATTTTGTTGAGTTGTTCCATTGCTGATGTTAAGATTTCGCATTATTTTATTCATGTTATTGTCGTTGTTTTGTTAATGTTGTTATTGTCATTATCAATCAATCAATCAATCAGTCAATCAATCCATCAATCAATCAATCAATCAATCAATCAATCAATCAATCAATCAATCAATCAATCAATCAATCAATCAATCAATCAATCAATCAATCAATCCACCATTCAATCAATCGATCAATCAATCGATCGATCGATCAATCAATGTTAAATTGTTATCATAATTGTCGTTGATACGTGTATCTTGTTTTAGTTTTCAAATCATAATATAAACTGTTGAAAGCATGGATTTATATAGAAGTATTCATGTGTGTGTAGGGATATATATACATATGTATATATATATTTTTACATATGTATATGTATAGATTTGTATATATATATACATATATATATATATATATTTATATGCAATATATGATATGGTTAATATAGCATTTCATAGTTGGACACTAGCTACACTTTTGAAATTTTGATACGCACCACACACACGCACACATACACCATACTCACGCACACGTACTCACGCACACATACATACGAACACATACATAACATACATACTTACGTATTCATATTCATTGATGTCTTGCTTAACTGATTTAGTCAATTTTTTCATCTTAACTTTCTAAAATTCATATCTAACTATATACGCGTATGAAAACATGATTGTATATCTCTATGATATATATATATAATATATATATACATCTTTATGAAATATATATTTATAATGCTAGCATGTACGAATTATACATTGCTCATATTTGACAATGCAGATACTATTGATTCCTTGAAGAACAAAATAAATGATTTTTTATCTAATAATAAAACGTGACTAAACTGTTTTTTTTTAATTTTTCTACAATTCAGTTGGATGGTGGGGATTTATGTAGATACATAAATATAGAATATATAGTTTTTGTTATATATGTTATATTCTATTTATATGTGTGTAGATAAATGAACAGTAATGCGTCTATGGTTTTCAACGCTTTAATTTTTTTTATTTATAATTTAACTTAATTGTCTATGTAAACATTTATTAGTCGATAATAGAGTATTTAAAAGGACATGTGCAACCGGGCATGTGAAAAATTAAGAAGATTATTAAATTTATTTTTAAATAAAATCGACACCGCCGAAAATAATTCAAAATTTTTTTTGAAAATGTAATTTAACTTAATTCAAAATATTTTTCCTGAAAATCACTCTGGTCTAAAAAATTCTAAATTAAATAAAATACACAAAAAAAAACCTCATAAAACAAAGCAAAATCATAAATTAATAAAACTACAACAAACATCAAACGAAATAATTTAAATAAATTTTTTTTTAAACAACTTTTTCTTTCTCATGCCATATTAATCCTTTCAGAGGACAAAATAAAATAAATACAGCATGTATCACTGCACTAAAGAAATTCCAAAAAAATTCATGAAGACAAAATTTTTAGGACTCAAAAACTCAAAGATAGCCACATTAACATATTCCTATTTTTTGAGTAGACATGTGAGGTTTATTTTCAGTAAGACTGGAGTGTGGGCGGAGCAATACACTGTCAATCAACGTAAAGAGGTTGAGGAATTTTGGAAAGGAACTGTCACCAATGATCATGTTAGTCTGTGCATTTTTTAAGATTTATTTGGTCGGCTGATATAAAATGACAGAATGAGATATGGCTTAATTATTATATGTCAAAATTGAAATTGGATATTAATTTTGAATCTATTTTTCAAATTCTCTTTAAAATAATTAATAAAAATAATTAAGGTATCTTCTAGAGAGAAACAACTTCAGCCATCATCTTATATACTCTCCATGTTTCCATACCCCAGTGGAAAGTTACATATGGGGCATGTTAGGGTTTATACAATCAGTGATGTCATGGCAAGGTTTTTGTTACCAACCAATGTTTCTTTTTTACTGACCAATCATATCTATTCTTTACCAACCAATCATGCTTCTTTACTTTTTAGCAAACCAATTAAATCATTCAATTTATAACCAAATAAATGATCACTTATTTTCTTTATCATCCAATTAAATTAACCAATCATATTGCTTTATTTCTATCAAACACACAAACAAACCAATCATAATTTTTTCACCAAATATCTAACTAATCAAATCATTTCATTACAATGAAACCCAAAAATCCCATGCCATACTAAAGATAAGCAAAATGATTAACCACACCCCTTCCATTATCAGCCAGATGACCAATCACAGTTTCATTTCAATCAATCCAGTCAATAATATTCTTCTACTACACCACCAGGTACAAAAGGTTAAAAGGTCACCAGGTCATTCATCCAATGGGGTGGGATGCATTTGGTCTGCCAGCTGAAAATGCCGCCATTGAGAGGGGCATCCAACCATCTGAATGGACCCTGAGGTATGTTTTTTGGGGGGACTTTTTTTAATAATTTAAAATTAACAAATTATTTTTTACTATTTCAAGCAATATAAAAGCCATGAAAGAACAATTGTTACAACTTGGCTGCTCCTTTGATTGGGACAGGGTTGGTTTTTTTGAATTTTGATTGGCTGGTTGGTAACAAAGCTGCTGTTTGACTGGCTGGTTGGTTGTTAATGGAATGGTATGATTGGATGAGTTAATAACAATGAAATGATGTGATTAGTTGAAATGGAATGATGCAATTGGTTGGAAATGAAATGTATTTTATCATTGGTTTGTAATTAAATGATATGATTGTTTAGTTGAATGTTTTTAAAAAACACAAGCACGCACGCGCGCGCGCACACAAACACAAACATGCACACACAAACACAAACATGCACACACAAACACATACACGCACACACAAACACATACACGCACACGCAAACACACACATCTAAGGAAGTTACTACTTGCAATGAAGATTATTACAGATGGACCCAGCATATATTCATCATGTTACATCAGGCTGGTCTTGTCTATCAAAAAATGGTTAGATATTGTTTCATTCATTCGTCCGTTTATTCATTTATTATTCATCCATCTGTTCATTCATTTATCCATTCTTTCATTCACCGAAGGCCCCTGTGAACTATGACCCCGTTGACAAGACGGTATTGGCAGATGAGCAGATAGATGAGGAAGGAAGGTCTTGGAGATCAGGGGTTGAAGTTCAGAAAGTGTTGTGTAAGCAGTGGTATGTTCGGACTACTGCATATTCTAAGGTAGGTTAGTTGGTCAGTTCAATTTTTTGAAAATGGTGCAGTTTTGGATCGATTGATTGATTGATTCATTCATTCATTCATTCATCCATCCATCCATTCATTCATCCATTCTTTCATTCATTTATTCATCCATTCTTTCATTTGCCAACGAATCCATCCATTCACCATCAAGTCACTGTATGATGGATTGAACGAAGTGGATGAAGAACTATGGAGGGATATCATAAGCCTGCAGAGAAACTGGATTGGTCAGTGTGACGGGGTGAGGTTCCAGTTCCAGGTGAAGGTCAGTTTATTGAATGCTTGATTAGTTGGTCAGTTTGATTGATTAGTTGGTCAGCTGTTGTTTTTATTCTAACGCTCACACATACATACAAACGTAAAAACAAACGAACGAACGAACATGCAAACAAACAAACGAACGAACGAACATGCAAACACACGTACAGACCTGTTCTGGTGATCAATCAAGGAATAGAGATGAGGATATATCAATATTTACGAAACATCCATTACATATCGCCAACCTATCACATATACTTCTATCTCCTAATCATACTCTCAATAGGAAAAAATTTTACAAAGTTTGTTTGTATATGTGTTTGTGTGTGTGTGTGCGTGCGTGCACGTGTGTGTGTGTGCGTGCGTGTGTGTGTGTGTAGTTGATTGATGGTTATTTATTGTAAGGCGTTGGTTGATTGGTTGAATTGGTTGAGCGTTTTATTAGTTTGCTGAAAAATTGGTTCAATAAATTTGTTACAAGTGATTGTTTGAGTTTGTTTGCTGGTTGATTGATATTGATCGGTTGAATGATTGATTGGTTGGTTTATTTGGCTGGTTGGTTGATTGGCTGGTTGAGTGGTCTGATTGGTTGATTGGTTTATTATGTTTTCTGATTGGTTGGCTATTCGATTTTATAGATGACTGATTGGTGTGCATGTCATTCATTGATAATTGCGCCTCAGATAAATAAAATATCCTTCTGTATTTAGACGTTAAACTTCAAATTAGATTGCACCTACCTCGTCATCATCATCGTCACATGTTGAGTTGAATATCCAAGCCGTCAATCCATTCACCGGCCGTTTAATTCCTTTATTTGTTTCATTCACTCACTCGTTTGGAGAATTTCTTGACCATCACCTGGGTAGATTTGAAGACAGAAATTAATGAATGAATGCATGAACGAATGATTGAGTGAGTGAATAAATGAATGAACGATTGATCAATTGAATGGATGCGTCATGAATTGTACCTCTAATCTTTCATTACCGTCATCATCTTCATCCTCGTCATCATAACTGTTTTAATAAAAAAAGTAGTAGTAGTAGTAGTAGTAGTAGTAGTAGTAGTAGTAGTAGTAGTAGCAGCAGCAGCAGCAGCAGTAGTAGTAGTAGTGATATTAACAATAATAATATTACCAATAATTATAATAATCATCACCAGCTTTTCCCATGATAAATAAACAAGACAATCAGTTCGCCAGTGAAATGGGCATCCTATTTAAGCCAGGTCGAAGTACTTTTCATTAATTTGCGTGCGTGCGTGCGTGCGTGCGTGTGTGTGTGTGTGTGCCTGCGCGTGTAAATTTGTTTGTATGTATGTGCTATGTATATTATTATTATTATTTATCTATTTATCCATTTATATTCTATTTATCTATCAATTTAATCCTGCTTCATTCTAGGTGAAACATTCGAAAGTCTCAATAATCTTTTAAAGAGGACCGAGGTTTTCACTTCTTTTTTCGAGAACGTTCAAATCTTATTATTATTATTATTGTTATTATTATTATTATTATTATTATTATTATTATTGTTATTAATATTATTGTGATAGGAATTAAAAATCGGAAGTCACGTGACGAGCGAGAAAGCTCGCGATTGGTTGATATCGAGGCAGAGGTACTGGGGCACGCCCATACCGATTGTCCACTGCAAAAAATACGGGGTCAGGGTTAACTATTATTATTATTATTATTATTATTATTATTATTATTATCATCATCCTTATTATTATTATTATTATTATTAACGCAATCGTCATCAGGCAGTTCCAGTGTCTTTGAACGATCTACCAGTAAAACTTCCTCCATACTCATCTCTACCCAATAACGATGATGATGATGATGGTGATAATAATAATAATGGTGATGATGATGGGGAGTTGATTAAAATAATGTCGCCACTGGCAAGAAATAAGCAATGGAAGAGAGCTAAATGTGCCAGGTTTGTGAAAAGTTATTTATCCTTCTTCTTCTTCTTCTTCTCCTTCTTCTTCTTCTTCTTCTTTTCCTTCTTCTTCTTCTTATTATCATTAATGTTGTTATTATCATTATTGTTGTTGTTCTTATTGTTGTTGTTGTTGTTTTTAGATGCGATTGTGACGGCTATGGAGAGAGGGAGACAGACACGATGGATACGTTCGTTGATTCGTCCTGGTACTTCCTCAGGTTTGACACGTCATCGTCGTTATCATCTTCATCGTAATCACCATCCTTGTTGTCCGTGACGTCACCATTTTTCGTCATCATCTTCATCGTCGTCGTCTTCTTCATCAATAACATTTTTATCATCGTAATAATAAAATGATAATAATAATAATTATAATAATAATAATGATAATAATAATCAAAATAACCATAATGTACAATAATAATAATAAGGTATCTAGATGCCAAAAACCTGGATGTGCCATTTCGTAGAAGTCGTCTGGAGGGCTGCTTGCCTGTGGACCTGTACATTGGGGGGAAAGAACATGGTGATCTCATTGATTGATTTACTTGAGTAGAAGTCACCCATGTATTCGTTTGTTTATCAAACGATCAATTTATCGATCTATTATTTCATTCATTCATTCATTCATTCATTCATTTATTCGTTCAATCATTCGTTCAATCATTCGTTCAATCATTCATTCATTTATTCGTTCAATCATTCGTTCAATCATTCATTCATTCATTTATTCGTTCATTCGTTCATTCATTCATTTATTCGTTCATTTATTCGTTCATTCATTCATTCATTCATTCATTCATTCATTCATTCATTCATTCATTCATTCATTCATTTATTCGTTCATTCATTCATTCATTCATTTATTCGTTCATTCATTCATTTATTCATTCGTTTGTTCATTCATACATTCATTCATTCAATTGTTAATTTATCCGTATCAATCCTGATATCAATCAATCAAATTCACCCATTTCTTTTTTCATCTATGCCGCCATTGTTTATCCATTTATTTTATCCATCTCTCAATCTATCTAATTATTCATCCACGAATCCATTCATTCATCATTCACATCCATTCAGCTATCATGCACTTGTATTACGCACGCTTTCTACATCACTTCTTCCACGATCTCAACTTAACTCCATGCAAAGAACCATTTAGGAACCTTTTGACACAAGGTAGGTTGGCTGGTTAACTGGCTGGCTGATTGATTGGTTGGCTGGTTGGTTAATAATGTTTTTTAAGTTACGTCATCATCGTCATCACTATCATTGTCATCATCGTCATCACTATCATCGTCATCATCACTATCATCGTCATCATCACCATCATCGTCATCATTACCATCCATCATCGTCATCATCACTATCATCGTCATCAGGGATGGTTCTGGGGCAGAGCCACAAGACCTCAGATACGAATAGATATCTGAGGGCAGATGAGGTTACGTTATCGCAAGGTATCATTATCATTTTTTATCATCATCGTTATCATCATCTTCATTGTCACCAACATCATCATCATCGTTATCATCATCTTCATTGTCACCAACATGACCACCATCGTCACCAGCATCATCATCGTCGTCACCAGCATCATCATCATCATCATCATCGCCAACAGACAACAAAACATACATCGAGAAGGCTACTAACAAGCCGCTAAAAACGTGTTGGGAGAAGATGAGTAAATCTAAACACAACGGTGTGGACCCCCAGGTTATGATGACGACGATGATGATGACGACGATGATGATGATGATGACGACGACGATGATGATGATGATGACTGTATTGGTGTTGGAAATGACGGCGATTATGGTGTTGGTAGTGATTACGATTGCAATGACCGCGATTAGGATATCTCTAGCTTCAACTTCATCATTCCCTTTCATCATCATCATCATAATCCTAACTATCACCATTCACTTCCTCTTCATCGTTTTACCATCAGTCTATCATGGATGAATACGGATGTGATAGCACCAGACTAGCGATACTTGCTAATGTCTCCCCTAAGTCTGACAGACAGTGGTCCAATGAAAGTTTGCTGATCCATTCATTCATTCATTTATTCATTCATTCATTTATTCATTCATTTATTCATTCATCTATCCATTCATCCATCCATTCATTTATTCATTCATTCATTCACTCATTCGTTCACTCAATCATTCACCCATTCATTCATTCACTTCCCTAATCATTCACTCACTCATTCATTCATACATTCACATACATACAATTGTTATTCAATGCATTCTCTATTCACCCAGTTTTTGTAGGCGTTCTTAGGTGGCAGCGTAGACTATGGGCACTCGCCCACAAGTTCATCAGCTTAAGGAGCCCAAGTCTCGTCAACAATCTTAGAAGACCTTCTACTCCTGATAATGATCTTGCAAATGACGGCGACGATGGTAATGATGATGATGATGATCGTCGTAAAAAAGTCAGCACTGATGATGATGATTATGTCTACGAGGTAGAAATCAGCGATCAAAGAAACCGCCACCTGCTACAGGTATCATTATTATGATTATTATTATGATTATTATTATTGTTGTTATTATTATTATTATTTTGTGCCCATTTAAAATGTATGGCGAGCATTGTAGAATATCTATATAATTTACATTACAAGTTTTATTCTTTTAACTTTATAATTACAAACAATGCATGTTTTACAATGAAAATAAAAGGATGTTTTCTCATTATTATTATTATTATGCTGTTGATGATGATGATGATGGTATCGGAAATTTTAGATAAGCTTCCATCTGGAGAGGACATTCCTGTTGAGTACGTCACTGTCCAGGATGCAGATGCTGTCTACAATTCTATCGGTCCTTATGTATCATACTTATTTATGATATCATCATCATTCTGTTGATACCATTTATCATACTTATTTATATCATTTTCATCATCATTCTGTTGATACCATATATCATACTTATTTATGACACCATTTTCGTCATCATTTTGCTGATACCATCATCGCTATCACTGTCATCATGTTGTTATCATCATCGTTCCGTGTATCATTTATCATCGTTATATTAACGCCTGTGTCATCTTCACGATATCAACACATATATCATTATCGTTATTATTGTATAAGTATCATTTTATCATTATATCGTTATCATCAGGATAATTATTATTATTATTTTTTCCTCAATTAACCCGACCTAGAAATATCCGGAGTCAGTAATAAGGTCAAGCCCCATGTTCGAGCGAACCCTGTGTGACCTAGTTATCGTCCTATCACCGTTCGCGCCTATGTTCGCATTGGAATTGTGGGAGGGCCTAAAAAGTGTTAATCACACGGAAGAGCATTACGATTGGGTGAGATTTGAACTATAACATGATTTAATTGGCGCAATTGACGACGTTGACGATGGTAACACTGACATCGATGACGTAACGCGAGTTATGACGTAACACGATGATGATGAAATTGTTTATTTTTAGAATTCAAATGTCCTGAAGCAAAAATGGCCGGAAGTTAATGATGATTTTAGGCTTCCAATGTCTGTAAAGGTCGGTTTTTTATAAATAACTTTACTACTATTATCGCTACTACTACTACATCTGCTACTATTGTTACTACAAATTCAATGTAGCTAGTAACAATTAATGAAATATTGAACTACAAACACACTCACATTAAGGTTATCATCCATTATTCGCCAACAACACTATTTTTCTTACTCCTGTCTTTATGGAAGAAAATCTATGAAAAAAAAATCTTTACTTCCGAATTATTTATTTACGTATAACAAATATATTACAAAAATTATTATAATCATAATTATAGCCATAATTATAAATATTCACAAGGTAAACAACAGAGAAATAGCGGAGATACGTCTGCCAATGTCCTACAAGCAGACAAGCGTACAGCTGACAGACGATATCGCCTGGCAACTCGTCACTAATCATCCGACCGTCCTAACTGTACTTGGGGCCTATTCGTTTAAAAGTAAATTAGACTCTAAAGAGAGAAGATGGCAGGATGAGATTTTGAAAAAGAATTTGATAAATTACGGAAACTCGAAGGTCGAATTTGATATCACTGTTAGTGATAGATTGGCGAAGTTCTTGAAAAGTTCTAAACGAAAAAGTTCAAAATCTATTTAACATCGAGCTAAACTGCCAAAACCATTTTTTATATTTCTTCTTACTATCATTATTTTTCATTTTACATGTATTAAAAATCATTTTATTACACAACAAACATGCTTATCTAATATTCGTAACATTTATATCATTATTATGATTGAGAAGTACTTTTCTAATCAATTCTGAATGAAATGAGCCGAACACAATTGAATCTTCATCAGAGCGTCGCAGTTTTAAATGAAATAAAATTAAAACGAACTTCTCAATAAACTAAGTAATGAAAACAAAAAATGTCTCTAAACATTTGGCAATGAAAAAAAGAGGAGGTAAGATTAGGCAATTTTTTGCTCTATGTTGTTTCCAAAGACAAAACATCCCCATTCAAGGTTACAGGAAGGTCGCAGAGTTCAAACTCTGTTGATGTATCACAAAGGCGAAATTCAGTCAGATTGTTGTTGTTGATGCTATTGATAAGGTTACTGTTACTGATAATGTTATTGGGGCTGCTGTTGTTAATGATGTTGCTGCCATTTATAACGACGTTGTTGTTGTTGTTAATGTTATTAGTGACGTCAATCTGTTGAAGTTGTTGCGAGAAGATGATAAACTTTTGGCCTGCTGCTGTCGATGACGTCTCGTTTGATGACGTCATCATGAAGGGCTGCAGGGTATCGGCGCTTAGATACTGTTGCTGCTGTTGTTGCTGCTCTAAGCTGTTACTGATGACGTCATCGTTGCCGCTGTTGGTGTTGTTGTTGTGGATGTAGATGAAATGGTTATTGATGTCGGCGTTCGGGAGGTTGTAACTATTATGAAAAATTTGTCGACCTGCCAATGTTAAATGGCTACTAGCATCACCGCTACGACATTCCAATAAGATGTTGCCAATCTGATCTAAGAAACTTGAGTTGTTGTTGTTGTTATTGTTGTTGTTATTATTGATGAGTACTACGTCATCAGTTGAATGGCTGACGTTCGATTGCGGTACTTTATTGCCTACATTATTGTTACTTATGACGATGTTATTAACATCATTCATGCTATTACCTCCTTCTTGATTTGCGTACAGAAAAAATTGTGACCTGACCATAGAAAACGCTTCATTATTGTCATCATTATTATTATTAATGCAACTATTATTATTATTATTGATAATGTTATTACTGTCATCATCGTCGTCGTCGTCGTGACAGTTATTAACAGTGATGACGTAACTGTCGTTACTGTTGATGTAGCTGGCGTTTTTAAAGTAACCGACGCTACTGCTGTTGATTCCTCTAGGGATGCAGAATGGCTTTTTACCTAAAACTTCGCCATAGACACCTTCAAGTTTATTATTATTACTATTATTTGTGTTATTATTATTATTACTATTCTTATTAACATCAATAGACAGTTCATCGTTTGAAGTTATTAAGGATAATGCAGATGTCATAAAGATTGTAGATAATGATGATGATGACGATGATGACGGTAATGATGATGATGCTGAGGCTAGTAATAGCGATGATGATGATGGTGGATGTGGTGAAGAAGTTGTTGCTACGTTAATATTAGATTTGCTAGTCAGTGTTGTCAATGATGATGATGATGGTTTGTTGCTGTTGATGTTGTTGTTGTTGAATGGGTCACATTCTGATCTGGTTTTATGATGTTAATTTATAGTTTATTTAACTACAAATAAGCCATATAACTCATTAGTTAGTTTATCAATCAATCAGTTAATCACAAATCACAATCACAAATAAGCCATATAACTCATTAGCTAGCTTATCAATCAATCAGTTAATCATTCAATCAATCAATCAATCAATTAATCAGTTGATCATTCAATCAATCAATTAATCAGTTAATCGTTCAATTTCTCTGTAGTTCAATCAACACAGACCAACTACCAAACCAGCTGAATGAACAGTTATTCAATCAATCAGTCAGCAGTCAGTCAAAAAATTATTCATTAAACTGAAACTCCTTTACTTTTTAAGATGTTTCTTCAACGAGATGACCCTAGCAAACTTCTTATCACACAAGAAACAGGCAAATAATTTCTCCCGATGAATATCTAGATGGCGCTGCAAGTCAGACGACTTTGTAAACGATCGGGGACAAGTGCTACAAGTGTATGGTCGTTCTCCGGTATGAAGTCGCATGTGTGTGTTCAAACTGCTGACATGGGTGAAAGCCTACAAGAAAGACAAATTCACAAATTAGTGATCCAACAAAATCTAAATGTTATTAAGAACAACAACATAGTGTATAAAAAATATATTAAACTGAAAAACAATTATTTTTAAATATTATAGGACCAACTTTATCGCATAGAACACAAGAGTAAGGCCTCGCACCAGAGTGACTAATGAGGTGAGTTTTAAGATAGTCAGCTCTAGCAAACCGTTTCTTACAAATGCAACATACGAATGGCCGATCTCCAGAATGCAATCGAATGTGGGACTGATAAATTGCACTTGTTTTGAATGACTTGTTACAGAATTCACACGTGAATTCTGGGTTTTCTAAATTTTCTAGTATCTCATTGTCATTGTCGTCGTACTGTTGATCAATGTTTTGCATGGAAGAATCAACCTCAATTTCAGCTGCAAATGACATGAATATTGCAAAATTAACAATGACAGTGTATGTATAAAGTACAATATTAATTTTAGTAAAATAGAAACATCAGTATTTACTAAAAAACAACACAACATTCATATTCCATGAATTAATTTTAATAAAAAAAACTATGAAAAAATAAAAACTAATTCTAGCCCACCAGATGACAGGTCGTACGAGGAATAAATTTGGTCTTCTTCCTCCATAGAAATTTTTAGATAACGCAAAAAACTCAACTAAATTTACTTAATAGACCCAACTAACAGTTGTTAACTTAAACACTAATTTTTAAAAATTTCAATGCTTCTTTTTGGCTTCATTCATTCATTCAATTTCAATGCTTCTTTTTGGCTACTCAACTTATAATGGCATTTTTATATCACAAAACGCAAATTATTAAAGTATTTCAGCGGTTCCAAATAACATTACAAATATTTTACTAAGAAAAACACTTTGAAGCACTTTTGTATGCAATCTTCTTTTACGTTTTATAAATTATCCAAGGTAACAAACACCGGGTATGGAAAGCCGAAGTACTTTTTTTTATAAATTACTGCTTTTAATTTAATTAAATCTTATTAAAGACGAAATATTCTCTTAAATGATTAATTAAAAACATGAAAATAAACGTATTTTATTCAAATAATCAATATACTTATACAAAACGTTTCATTCAAATATTTTGTTTCAATATTAAAGCATGAAACGGGAATAAAATCAATGAAAAATCAAGTTCCAGGTGAGCTTAAACTTAAAATGGAAAAAAAATTTCTTTTTTTTGAATGTCATTCAAGGTATAGTTAATATAACACCAGGTTTTTTTCAAAATAACTATAAAATATGGCTACAGGTATATTGATTCGCAGCCATTATAAACGAGCTGGATTATAAACTAGACTGTTATCAGTATTTGTATTGTATGTATGTTTGTATGTATTTGTATTGTATGTTATGTTTATGATATGTACGATAATGATGTTGACGATAATAAATATGAATGAATGATGATGGTGATGAATGATGAATGAATGAATGAATGAATGAATGATGAATGATGATGGTGATGAATGATGAATGAATGAATGATGAATGATGATGGTGATGAATGATGAATGAATGAATGAATGAATGAATGATGAATGGTGATGAATGATGAATGAATGAATGAATGAATGATGATGGTGATGAATGAATGAATGAATGAATGATGAATGAATGATGGTGATGATAATGGTGATAAGATAACGGTGATGACGATTGTTTCAGTGTTTATAAAAACATTAGCCTCGTTATTTCCTTCCCACGTTGTTACCAGGGTTTTAGTAGATTGAGATTCCCCTGGGAATCGGAATCATCAACAAACACACGTACATACACACATACACACACACACATGCACGCACACACACTCACACATGTACGCCTACATACTGCATACATAAATTCATAAACGTGCACATACATACAGATCTATCTACTAACACACAAATGCACGAACACACATACACTGGTGCTTGACAACCGCTTTTATTTTCCCGCAAACACACACACACCCACAACACATACACAGCACAAACACACACATATACACACACATACTCCACCTTTTGATACAATCTTCATTTGTAATGCATACACATACACACCTAATGTATTTATACCCACACGTGTAAACATACCATGTTGACATACCCGCACTTATACAAACATATTATATTGTATATGTTTACGTACACACATGCATACACGTGCACATATACCTACACACATAAATACACACATACAAACATAGATACATGAATACAAACACGGTGATACAAAACAAGCATCAAATCATTTACACTTCCGTATATTTCCGTCACAATCTGCCCATACATACATACGTACATACGTACGTACATACATACATACATACATATATACATACATACATACATACATACACACACAAACACACACTCACAAACATATTTTTTGAAACATTAAATAAAGGTCGAAAATGGCTTATGAAACTGACACTTGGTGATATTTTCACCTACGTTTTATCAACACGATCATCACTCAAGTGAAGTCTATGGAGATTGTTTTGCCTAATTTTGAGACTAGTTAACTTTGGTTTATATGTAGAGAGAGATATAACGAGAGTTATATATAGAGAGAGAAAAGAAGGAGAGGGAGAGAGAGAGAGAGAGAGAGAGAGAGATGTTTATAATATATACGCAGTTTATTATATAAATAATTAAACTTAACAAAATGCTTTATTGATTTCCCTGAAGATATGTCTGATCGATGGATGGATTGATGTGATGAACGAATTTGAACGAGAAGATGAATGAATGAATGAATGAATGAACGAATGAATGAATGAAGGAAGGAATAAATGAATGAAAGAAGAAACGGATAAGTGAATGAATGATTGATTGAATGAATGCATGGGTGAATGAAAAAACAAGTGAATGAATTAATGATTTCATGAATTAGTTAACTAGATGTTTGTGAATAAGTGCATGTATACGTGTGTGTGTGTGCATTTGTGTATGTGTGTGTGAGAGTGTGTGTGTGTGAGTGCATGTACATGTGTGTGTACGTGCGTGTGTGAGTGTGTATACATGTAGGTGTGTGTGTGTGTGTTTGTGTGTGTTTGCATTTCTTTGTTGTTAATATGTTGACATTGTTGTCGCCTTGGCCACGCTGCCAGTTTGGTTTACCTTGAAAAAAAATTTCCGTTCGAACAATGCTGAAAGTTTGCGGTGAGTAAATTTATGGAAAAAAATTTAAATGAACGGCGGTGAAATGAATTGAAGTGGAAAAGATGATTTTTTAAGAATGAGTGAATGAGCAGATCAGCAAATAATGAATGATAGAAAGTGATTATTAAATGAGTGAATGAGTGAGTGATTAAGTGAAAGATTGAAGTAAGGGATGAATATGTAAATTAATTGAATCATTTTTATAACTGAAGATGAAAGAATGACTAAAGGACAATTGAATTAAATATTTTTAATTACTTAATGAATTAATGAATTTGCCAAATAAATTAATTAAAAAATAAAGAATATAAATAAATGTAATACATATCTACATACATACATACAATCTTATTTCATTTTTTGTATAATTATGGATTTTTATTTTGTTGGAAGCAGACAAGATTGAACAGAAATGGTGATGACGATGATGTATATTTGCACATCTTCGTATGTGTGTTTGTATGTATGTACGTATGTATGTATGTATGTATGTATGTATGTATGTATGTATGTATGTATGTATGTATGTATGTATGTATGTATGTATGTATGTATGTATGTATGTATGTATGTATGTATGTATGTATGTATGTATGTATGTATGTATGTATGTATGTATGTAGGTATGTATGTATGCATGCATGCATGCATGTATGTATGTATGTATGTATATGTGTTTGTATGTATGTGTGATTGTTTCTATCTATAAATAAGCCTCAAAGTCGGAGTGTTGTTTGACGAAGTTTAGTTGGTTTCGCATTGTCGTGAAATAATTTTTTGCAAACTTTGAACAATCAGAGAAAAACAAATGTTAGCCATAATTTGTGGTTGTCATTCATTCGTTTCCATGTTATTCTTTTACACCAATCGTTAATTTTCATCTATTTTTTTTATCATTCTGCCATAATTTTATGAAAAATTCGACGTCACCATGACGTCATAGTTTACATCACCACCTCACGACGTGATCAACTCCATCATTGCTCCTACCAGGGACTCCATAACCCTTGATGCCGGGGCCCAGCTGCTCATGAAAGAACTCAATTACCCTAAGGAGAGGGCTTACCAGGTGGTCAAAAAGTTCGACCACAACAAAGATGGTAAACTCTCAGGAAAGGAGATCATAAATTTCAAGAATAACATTCAGGAGACGTTAGTGGAATCATTGTTTTTATTATTGTTGTAATTATTATTATATTATCAATCAATCAATCAATTAGCTTATAAAGCGCTATTTCCGCGATGTTCAACAGCGCTTCTCAATGAATTTTGAAAACAGATGGGTCTTGAGATCCTCTCTGAACTTCGCAAGTGATGGAGAAGTAGTCAGAGAAGTAGGTAGAGAGTTTCAGAGAAAAGGACCAGAAAAAGCAAAAGCAGATTTGGCAAAAAAGTGTTTAACACGAGTTAAAAAAAAGCGAGATGAAGAAGACGATCGTAAACCGGGGCGTTTAGGTTCAATTAATATATCTGATAAATACTTAGGAAATAATTTAGATTGAGACTTATTCATGAACGTGCAAATTTTAAAAATTATTCTATATTTTATAGGTAGCCAGTGCAAGAGAACAAGATATGGAGATATATGAGAAAAGAAAGGGGCACAAGCAACTAGACGAGCAGCAGAGTTAAAAGCTTTACATAAAGGATAGAGTATAGAGTCAGGAAGACCATAGTAGAGCGAGTTACAATAATCAATCCTAGATAAGACTAACGAAGTAACAAGAAGAAGAAAAGTAGGATCATCAAGAAAAGGCAAAAGTTTTTTTATTCTATGTAGATGAAAGTAAGAGCTTCTAGCAACACTATTAATCTGAGAAGAGAGAGACATAGTAGAATCAAAGATAAAACCTAGACTACGAAACTTATGAGAGACATCAAGAGTTTTAGAATCAGGTAAGATAATAGGAGGAATAGTAATAGAGTGTTTAGATTTATTAAAACAAATTAATTTAAACTTAGAAGGATTAAGTTTAAGACACATAGAGTCAGACCAAGCGATAATTGAAGAAAGACATAGAGATAAATTATGAAGAACACTATTGAGATTAGATGGAGGAAAAGAAGTATAAATGTACGAATCATCAACATATAGTTGACTAGAGAAAAAAAGTTATTAATAATACGATGTAGTTCAGAAGTATAGAGTATAAATAGAAGAGGGCCAAGGATAGAACCCTGAGGTATCCCGAAAGTAAGAGTAGAGGAGTTAGAAGTAGAATTATTGAGAACAACAGAAGAAAAACGATTACAGAGATAAGAAGAAAACCAAGATAAACAAGAATCAGTAATATTAAAAGAAAGATGCAGCAGTCTCAAGAGAATAGTATGGTCAACAGTATCAAAAGCTGAGGAAAAGTCAAGAGTAAGATTACTATTGTCACTAGAGAGAAGGATATCATTGTGTATTTTAAGTAAAGAAGTTTCAGTACTGTGAGCAGGTCTGAAACCAGATTGAGATACAGGTAGCAAAGAGTTAAAGTCTAAATAGGATGACAGTTGATTAAAAACAACTTTTTCTATTATTTTAGAGATGAAAGTAATATTAGTTACAGGTCTATAATTAGATAAAGAGGTAGGATCTAGAGATGAGTTTTTAAGAATAGGAATAACAATAGAATTCTTATAAGAAGTAGGAAATTTAGAGGTGGAATTATTATTATTGCTAGTTGTAGTAGTAGTAGCAGCAGTAGTAGTAGTAGTAGCAGTAGTAGTGGTAGTAGTAGTGATAATGGCATCAGTCGTAGCAGCTATGTTGTTTTTGTTATCGCTTCATTAAATTATTTTATGACAGATGACATACTGAATTATAACATAAGTAAATATTTTTACGGATGAATGAATGAATAAATAAATAAATGAATGAATGAACGAATAGATTAATTATCAAATGAATGAACTAAGGAGCTAATTAACAAACTAAAGTCCCCAAAAAAACCGACCTCAGTAAGAGGACCATCCTGCCGAAGTTCAAGGAATACGACAAAGACAACAACGGTTACGTGACGTTGAACGAGGCTTCCAAGGTCCTCTCCCAGAAACCTTTCAACTTCCCATCCTCCAAAATACTTACCCTGCTGCACAAGTTCGATAAAGACGGAAATGGAAAGTTGGACATAGAAGAGTTCGCTGATTTCTATGCAGACGCAAAGGCCTTGTTAGTTAGCAGTTTGATATTTTCGGCTTTTATATTACTTCGGTTTAATAGGTTGTGGGAAGTTTTGCTAGCTGCCTTGTTTGGTTTTTGGTTTATTTTTGTGTGTTTTTAACTCGTTCCATTGTTAATAATAATCACCGTACTTTTGATACAAACGTACGCCCACACACACGCACACATACACGCACACATACACGCATAATTTAGCAACGAGGAGATATCAGACCACTTCAGCAGATTGGATGTGGATAGGAATGGTCTTCTAAACGTGCAAGAAGTCAAAAATGTTTGTACTATTTTCTTCAATCCAACTTAGACTAATATGATCCAAATAAATTTCAACGGTTGAAAATATGCACTAATTTACATAGCTATCGATGACAAAAAGAGATCGCACATGATTCTACGCGAGTTTGAACCCGGGCACTGGAAATTAATAGCATGCAAGCTCCTTTAACCATTACGTCAGCGAACATAATAGTTTTGTAAATAATAATTCAGAATTTCTGAAAAATAAAAAACGAACCAATCATCTGATCACACAACCAGCCAGCGAATCAACCAATCAATCAACCAGCCAACCAACCAACCAACCAACTAGCCAATCAACCAACCAGCCAATCAACCAGCTAACCAACCAATCAAAAAACAGGTCCTACGTGAGAAGATGGGCTTTGACGAGGCGATGTGTCAGCATCTGATAAAGATGTTTGACGTAAACAAGGATGGATACTTGGACAAGATGGAGTTCATCCAGATGTGGAGCAGTATGTTTGATGGGAAGTAATGGTGATGGTGACGATGATGGTGGTAATGATGAAAAAGATGATGATGATGCGATTGCTGTGGTAATGAAGAAGATGATGATGTGGTAGCTGTGGTGACGATAACGTGAAGGTAGTATGATAATAATTATGACGTTTATGATGGCACGAAGAAAATGGTGACAATATAATGACTAACGCTAATGGTGGTGCTAAGGTAATGATGATTTTTGTAATAATGATGACAATGATGGTAAGAATCTTATGGCGAATAGTTAAAATCCATAACGAAGATGACTAAAATAATGATGACGATGATGAGTAAGGTGATGATGAAAGTGCTACCATGATAATTATGATTATTTTGATAATAAAGAAATGATTGAATGACAATAAAAAACAATAGTATAGATGATTAATGAAATAACTTCAATGTTTAAACTCAAAACAGTAGACAACTCATAAACGTTTTACCGTTATATGGATACATTTCTTCTGTAGTTAGATATTTCATGCTATATTACAAAAAAGTTCATAGTAGTCCAAGTTTTTGTTTCAGGCATTTGCTCTTATAATAAATTGTGTGTTAATCACAAATTAATGGTTTTAAATTAATCTAATAATTTCTGAGCAAGAGATAGATTTTTATTTATGCTTTATCTTTAATATTATGACGTGAAAGAAAATAGACCCTAACAAGATTTTTATAAAGTAACATGGAAAATTTAAAAAAATGTATATAGGACAAATTTCTCATAAACCACTAATCAATAATTTCAAACTAAACCAAACGTCCAAAACCAATAAAATTAATTGCAAAACGACAAAGATAGAAACAATTTTTTAGCTAACATAACAAAAATCATCACTTCTACGAGGAACAAAATCCGACCGACGTCAGCCCAGCAACCAGATGATAAATTAAGAGTTATAGTAAAACTATCCCGACCGTTTCCATTGACGACAGTGCAAGAATAATCACCTGCGTAATTTTTTGTTTTTTCGGTGAAATACTGGTAGGCCACTAAAAGGTTCACCTCCCTATGCTCCGGGCCGTAATATTTTTGCCATCCGTCCGGGAATTCTATAAAGATAGCGACGGGAGGATCTCCCGTGGCAGAGCACCTCACGTCCATGTGCATTCCGCGGGTTATCCAAGAAGCCGTGAAATTTAAGATTTTCGGTTTTATCGGCGTCCCGGTTATGAGTTCTTTCTCCCAATCGATCAAAACATCCGGACCCATGATATCCAGTTCGTATTGTTCAAAATTTTTTAACGGCGAAAGCGCTAAATCTCTCTTGTACGATATATTTTTCCTCAGGGATGTCGACGGTGGTGATGTAATTTTGATCGGGTGTGACGAATACAAATTGTCCGTGTTTCTATCCGGGCAGTTTAATAACATTTTCCGTTTAGTCGTTTCCAGAAAAATTAGAAAACTTTTCAAGATGACAACAGGACGGGGGCACTGAAGTATTAGTTTGTGTAAAACTCTTAATCCACTGAAAGTTGTACCGATAACTCTCCGCGAGCCCACTTCGAATAACGAAACAATTCGAAGGCTTTGTGAGAGACCTTCAAATGAAGATAATATCAAATTCGTTAGCAGATCTGCTGGGATTTGCAAATGAGTAACATTATGTAGATGGTGTAAGAAGTCAGTTCTTTGGAGTTTTCCTTCCAATCTTAATCTTTGTAGTCTGTAACAAGACTGTTAAATGAATTAAAAATTTATTAACAGCACGCAAATAATTCATTAAAATTATGAAATTTTCACTCAAAATTCAAAATCCATTAAACTGGCAAAACATTTTAAACACTACTAACAAGATCTTAACACTTACCTCAAACGTATTTTCATGTATGTGTATCTCAACAGTTGGACTTATCAACTCAAATTTTTCTAAAAATTGGCACATAGACTCGGAAATAAACCCCACATTTTTTAGAGCGTTTATAAATGCAAGAGAATTATTTATCGATAATACTTTTAATGAAGTTATATTCGTGAATAAATCAGTAGACAGCTCGTCATTAACCAAAACGTTTGAGATGGATATTTTTTCAAGAATTAAATTTTCAAAAAATGTCGAATCGATCTCCGTAATGATAATATTGTTAAGGCTGATGTAGGCAACTGTCTGTTTGTCAATATATCTCTTATACGAATTCTCATCGAGAATGGTCATTTTGCAGTTTTTAAAGAATAACCATAATTTTGGGACGTTTTCGTTAATGTAGATAGACTTTTGAGGGTAACAGTTCTGTGAATACCTCTTCAACAAATGTGAACTAGACGTCGTCTGGATCATAACAAGGATGAGCAGTAGTGATAAGTCATCTTTCTCCATTTCCTATATCGATATTTCTATTGCGATTTCATTTTATTTTCATTAAATTTAATCAAAAATATTATTTCAATTAAGTTTCAATTTATCAGAGGGGTGTTTCAAGAAACTAAATGTCATCGCCTATTAATTTGAACTAAACCGGATAAATCTAAAAAAAAGTGTTTCAACTTTTCATTTAAGTTCATGAATTTATGATAAATTCTATCTTTCTTTTCATTATTATGATTATTCAATCATTGTGGAATAAAAACGAAATAATGTTTTTGCAAGACAGTATATTAAAAATTATAAAAAATAATTTCTAAAATAATCATTAGTTTGAGAAACTTATTTAAATTCCATTTTATAAAAGAAAGCTCGTCATTATTAACAATTATTTCTATTATTCCCATTCAAATTCATGTATTTGTTTACATTAGATAACCGTTAACAACATAGATAGCGCATTTATATTAATTGTGTATGTTAAGTGTATCTATGATTTGCCACCAAAATAATATATCGATATAATAAGAATTGTATCGATATAGTATCGAAATAGAATTGATATGATAAAATACGGCATTGATGGGATAAATATCGTATCGTTATTGGTATAATGAAAATCGAATCGGTAAAACTAATATAAGTGTAATTGCATAATTGTCTAATATTGGCGTAGTCTTGCACAATTAAGGCACCGGATTATTTAGAATTTAGTGCAACCATGAATCAAGTTTATTCTGGAGCATACAACTTAGAGTATACTTAGAATACGGTTTAAATACATTCTGGAGTAAGTGTATTAGCCATTGTTCTGGTTGGATGGTGTTGTATTTTAGGTTCTAAATTATTTCGTTTCGCTTTCAAATTTGTTTTAATTGATGAAAATAAAACGAGTGACACGTTTGATTTGGAAATTAGTTTTGTAGGGATCAAACATTCATTTATTAACTATCTTATGTATTAATTATTATTAAAGATTATTGTAATTTTCAATGTTACCTAATCTATGCTAATTTTTATGTCTTTGCTTCTCGATTTCTTCACTTTTTCCTGATAGCTTGAAAACGAAACGGTTCGAGATTCACGTGGGAATGAAGATAATATTTTATTACGCCTGAATTGTGTTTGTTTTATCTATTTTAACTCACAACAAGGTGTCTTGTTAGTAGCAGAAGTTCGTACTAACAAATTGGTAATCCCGACGTGATCTGAACGAAAAGCTGACGTGATTTGAACGAAAAGCCGACGTGATTTGAACAAAAATCCCACGTGATTTGAACGAAAGATCACGGCGTTTTCGGCATTATTCAGCTTGCAGTTGAGTTAATTTCTTAATAAATGAAGACCAGAGTTTTATACAATATAATTTATTATTTGAAATATATTGGGCCTCTAAGCCAAGCTAGTTAAATAGAATTAAACAAAATGTAAAGATTAAAAATTAAATAATTTTATTTGAATGAAAGTATGCAACCAGGTTGAATTTTTTTTATCAAGTGTGAAAAAATAAATGAAAAATCCTAGTAATAAAATCAATGTTACATATTTTTATCATTTATTTATATAGATATTATTTTTAAATTTAAATTAAGTTTAACTTTTAGAGAGAAAAAAGGAAAAACAAATTTTGTTGTTGTTGAAAAACTGGAAAAAAAATCTCTCACGCTAATATCGTTGTAAACTGACTAATCAGTAAATAATCTCTAAAATAAAAAGTTCAAAAACTTCGTCGGTTTTGATGATGATGGTGGTTTTGAATGGTAGTGATGATGATGTGATGATGGTAGTGCTGGTGATGATGTAATGATGAAGATAGTGAAGATGATGCGATGGTGATGATGACGATTTCAAAGCGTATCAAATTCTAAAGAGAAGTTTTTCAATATTCAAAATCTGTAATATAATCTAAATCAAAATGTTAAGTATGTATATGCGGTATTTGGTAAAAAATTTTAACTTCATTCATCATCATTCATTTTATTCATTCATTCATTCATTCGTTCATCCATTCATTCATCTATTCATTCATTCAATCACAGCTCATTCATCCATTTTTATATTATATTTAGATAGATATATACTATACATAGCTTCAATAACTTATTCATTCCTGACGTCACACATTCATTCAGTCTATCATTATTATTTTTTTAAATTAATTAATCAGTTAGTTAATCAAACAATCATCTAATTAATCAACAAATTAATCAAACAATTAATTAATTAATTGATTTACGAAGTCATATATACAAGAATGATATGATTTAACAGTGTGAGAAATTCGTCAAGAAAAAAAAGCGATTTTTTCACCGTAAAGTTTATTACTTTGTAAAATGCATATGTGTAAATAATTTTTCTATATTTTTCCTCTCTCTTTCTCTCTCTCTTTATCTTATTATCATTTTTTTCGTATGTCTATCTATCTCTCACTCTTTCTCTCTCTTTCCCTCTCTCTTTATATATATATATATATATACATATATATACATATTTATATATCGTTAGGATATCAGTATTGAATAATATTGCCTGCAAAAATTAATATAATAATAATAATTATTACTATAATTAGAATTAAAATAACGTGAATACTGCTTTCTATTGAATCAAAGATATAAAAGAAAAGAATGATAAAACAATATACATTGAAATATAGTTAAAATAATATTAATAATAACATTAATAATTATAATAAAAATAATAATTATTATTATTATTATAATAAGCTCACCATCCTCAAATAATTAACAAATAGTACAAATAACAGCACTAAAATAGTAAATCGATCAATAAATTTGTCCTCTTTTATATATAAGTTAAAAAAGATTGCCATCATGGTAAGGTTGTCGAGTTTGGCAAAGCAACACTCGAGTACAACATGGCTATAAGCACCGACCGTAGTATTGGACCGACCAGCTAACCGACCAGATACCATACCCCCCGATGGAAGTAACAAAAAATTCCTCTTCATCTGCGTTGCTGTTCCAATAACACGAACATTACTTCAAAGGTGGTTAAAAAACTAAGCGAATATGAAGACCTTGAGATCGAGATTTCACGTATGTGGAAGACAAAAACACGCGTGGTCGGGTGATCCGAATAGTAGTTTTCGCATTGGGAACAACACGTCAGGGGCTGCAGAAATATCTCGATGAACTGCCTGGAAAGGAAAGTGTTGTCCAAGTGCAGAAGATAGCCATACTCGGTACTGGCCACATACTTCGAAGGTTTCTTACAACAGGAAACTAAAACCCGGTTGATACCAGCAAAAGTGGCTGAAGAAAATAACAACAATAACAATAATAACATTAATAATAATAATAGTAACATAATAACACCTACAAAAACGAAATAAATTAATGTCGACTACATCTTAAAGAAAAAATATTCATTACTCAACATTAATGTGTATTTGGGCTATCTTGTTATCTTTTATTTATGAGAGTTTATTTATGGAACCGTTTGAAATTTTAAAAATATCATTTAATTTAAACTTTAATAATATTATTAAATCCGTTCAAAAATTTATGCTTTCAGTTTGGCGTATTCCTCTTTCTTCTCCATGTCAATTCCAGTCGAAGGTATGCATGTAGCCATCCAATAGGTTATGATGAAGACAAGAAAGACGAATGGAAAAATTTTTCGAGACATGCGGTCAATTTTTCTGGCTTTCAACTTACTGGCCTCTATGTCAACGGTTGTTTGATATTCCTGCGGCTCCGAATGGCTATTTTGGAATTTCTGATCTTTCTGGTTACGTCGCCGTTGGGCCGATGAAGATGACGATGGGTGAGGTTGCGACTGTTGCTGTTGAGGAAAATGTTCTTTCATTCTCTGGATGGAGTTGTTGTTGTTGTTGGATTGATGACGGTGAAGATGAGGATGACGATGAATATGGTGATGATAATGGCGTTTTTGTTGTTGGAAGGAAATGGTGATGGCGAAGATGGGAATGGTGATGGTCTGTGATGTGAAGATGATGACGACCGTTATTAGAGACGATGACGAATGACGACCATATGTTAATTTCGATTCAGAACGTACTTATTAACAAAAATAGGACGCAAACAACAGCAATAAATTTGACAGTAATTCAAAATGGATTATTTTTATTATCAAACTATACATACATACATGTACACATACGCATACAAACATACAGACAGTCAGACAAGCAAACGTTCACATACATACAACTATACCACATACAAACATACACTCATAAACCAGCACAATCTACCTGCCAACATTTCGACAATAGTGGCTCGTCCGGGGAGTTGAACTCCTGCGTTGGTTGTTTGATCAGTTTAATAGTTTACGACATGAAAAAGTTATAAAAATACGAAAAGATGATGGTGTTAAAAGATAATGACATGAGATATGATAACGGTGGTGATGATAAACTGGTAAAATTTCATCAAAAACATAAACAACATCACTGAAAACATCAACAACATCCTCAAAAACATCAACAACATCCTCAAAAACATCAACAACATTCTCAAAAACATCAAAAACATTATTGAAAACATCAACAACATCATTGAAAACATCAACAACATCATTGAAAACATCAACAACATCCCCGTCCAACCTGATCAGTTCCTTCGTCACTATCAATGCAAACTTGCTTGTAGGAATACGACGACGCGGAAGTTTGCATCTGAGGTTTCGGTAACGTCTTCGGAGGAAGATTTTCAGCGGTGGGCTGAGGGCTGACCTCGAGGGGGGCCTTCCTAACGATAGGGGTACGAATTCTGACTCCGTTTCTGGCAGCCACGTTAACGAACGCGTACTCGAGAAGGGCGCAGAAGACGAAAATCAGACACATTATCAGCCAGACGTCGATTGCTTTTATGTAGGAGACCTGGTGTTGGTTAGAGATTCATCAAATGTTGAAGGCAGCATGCATGGTGGATTTGGAAATGTATTTTTTATAAAAAAAAAAGTTGGAAATATAAAAATAGAAAAAAGAAAGAGAGACAGAGAGAGACAGAGAGCGACAGAGAGAGATAGAGAGAAAGAGAAAAAAGGAAAAAAGGAGAGAGAGATAGTAACCCTAGGAAGAGTAGCGTTAACGCTGCTCGTTGCCGAAGTGATTGTCAAGACTGTCAGAAGGCCCAGCGTACATCTGATGGCGGTGATGATAATGATGATGACGATGGTGAAGACGACGATGATGTTGGTAGTGATAATGATGGTGACGATGATGAAGACGATGACGATGATAACAACGCTAATGACAAATGTTATAAGACCATTGAAATCAGGTGATAATTAAAACGATAATGACCATAGAAACCCTTAATCTTCATCATTTGCAGTCACCCTCAATTCAATTATTTTTGTTAAAAATTCAACTTTTAACAGCACAATCATCCTCACAACCTAGCTGGAACTCCGTCAATGTTGATCCAGAAGGAAACCCAGGAAAGGATAACTACCAAGACGCTTGGGATAAAAACCTGGATCACGTAGTACCCGATGTCTCTCTGCAATGTGAAGCTTATCTCGGCACATGGATAAGCTCCTGCAAGTATGTACGTGTGTGTGTACGTGTGTGTATGTGTTAATGTGCGTGTACGTGTGTGTACGTGTTATGTGCAAGTTCGTATGCGTGTTTACGTCTAAGTGTATGTGTGTATGTGTATAGCTCTATTTTTTGTGCATCGGTGTATTTCTATGTACGTTTTAAAATCTCAATATTTTTACTTATATGCAATGTTTTTCTGTATGTGTGTGTGTGTGCGTGTGTGTGTGTACGTGTGCGTGTATGTGTGTGAATACGTACGTGTCCGTGTGTACGTGAATTGATACTTATTTCAAATGTACATTAATGGAGACTCAGCCAGCAAGAGGGAGATAAGAGATAAACAAATGAACGAGGGTTGTTATTGTTGTTATTATTATTATTGTTATTATTATTATTGTTATTATTATTATTATTGTTATTATTATTGTTGTTATTATTATTATTACAAAGATACAAACAAACAAACAAGCAAACAAGCAAACAAACAAACAGCAGACAGACAGAAAAACAAACAAACAATACTGATATTACAACATTACCACATATGCATGCCATGAAACTTTACTACCAGGTATAAATAGTAAAATCAAAACCAACAAATAACCAGGCTAACACACGCGCGGGCATTTTTTATTACGTGTCTAAGTTTGTGTGAGTTTGTCTCTCTCTCTCTCTCACTTTCTCTCTCTCTCTTCCTCTTTCTCTCTCTCTTCCTCTTTCTCTCTCTCTTTCTCTCACCTACACTCTCTCTCTTTCTTCATCTCCTTATCCCTTAATGTATGGTTGTATTGGTGTGCCTTGAATTATGTCCATTTTTGTGGTGCAGTTGTCAGAGTATCGGTAATTTAGTATCTAGTTAAGTTGTCTCGGGTTCGATTCCGCTTTTGATTAAATGATTACGTTGATGTTGGCCTGGTAGTATAGAGGTAAAGTGTCCTGTTTGGTTGTGAGCTGTGATGCTACGGTTCGAAGACAAAAGAGATATAAGCCTGCACTATATTTTGAGTTGATACATGCATGAATATTTGGTTGAAAAATTTAAATATAGAGTTTGTTTTTAATATTTTAATTATTAATATTATTACAATTATATAAATATCAATAAAATTATCATCATAATTATTACTATAATTACCGTCGTAATAATATTGCGATATTATAAAATAATAATGTCCCCATAAACTTTATAATGGTTAGCAGACCTGAAGTATAATTACTCGAGCAGTCGACCAACTCATAGTAGAGTAACTGAAATTGTGGTGGCTTGATCTCGTCTGGTAGGTCGACGGGCTTCGGAAGGAAGCCAAAGAACATGTCATTCATGGTGTTGGTGACTGAAAATGATGACGATGACGACGATGACGATGATGAGGAAAAAGATGACGATGAAGATGATGGTGATGACGACTAGGATGACAATGTTGATGATGATGATGAGGAAGATGATGACAACAACGATGATGAGAAAAACGACGCTGATGAAGATGAAGAGATGGATGATGAGGACAATAATGGCAATAGGATTTATATTAATGCCGATGGTGACTTAGAATTGGCTGAAAATGATGACGACGAATACTACTTTTACTACTTCTACTACTACTACTACTACTAATAATAATAATAATAATGATAATAATAACAATAATAATAATAATAACGGACTCACAACTTTCAAATTGAATGGGGCATTTTTGAAAGTCGAAGGGGAACATCTCCAACCTCATTGGACAGGTCAAGGTGATGGTCAACCTGTTGGATATCATCACCATCATCATCATCATCATTATTATTAATATTATTATTATTGTTGTTGTTATTGTTGTTGTTATTTTTATTATTTTCATTATAATTGGTGATAATGTTGATGATGATGATGAACGGGATGGTTTTGGTGGTGCCGATTTTGTGGTGATAACAAATATCGTTAGGTTGATGCTGAAGCTATGAAGATGATGATGGTTATTTGTCGATTACGATGACGACCATAATCTTTTTTTCAATAAATTTTTCTCCCAAAATTATTTGCCCGTATTTTTACAAAAGTTATCTAGAATGCATTAGTTTATACCTATACTGTGCAAAATGTGCAAACTTCTATTGCACTTAGTTTTGTTAATTTTTTTTTCATTTTTTGAGGTTTAGTCTTACTACTTAGAGAACTTTTAATGTAAAATACTCTGTTATGTATATCTATGTTTGTGTGTGTTTGTCTCTCTTTCTCTTTCTTTTTTTCTTTCTCTCTCTCTCTTTCTCTTTCACCCTTTCTCTCTGTCTGTGTGTGTAGGCGATTAAATTTCCATATTATTTCAATACTTTTTATATATTTCATCCCATCGGCATTCGTCTTCAGATTCAATTTTTTTTGGGTAAAAAATTATTTTAAAAAAATGATACGCTATATAATGACTAGATCATCATAAAAAAAATAATAATAACTATTATTATTATTATTGGAAAATTTATATAGCGCAATTTATGACTAATACATTGATCTATAAGATTGATGCAGCGACATTTAGGAAAATGACAGTAGAAAAATTTACGTCGATCGATGCAGAATCGTCGGTGGCGGCAGCGATTACGTCACTGACGTAAGAGATATGACGTCATCGTTATCGGTATGATTTTTATAGTAGGTGGCCATCATCGTCGTCGTCAACAGCAACACAACAGCATAACAAATAACGACAGAAATAATTTAAAAACCACGCAACTACTGAGATTACCACCACACCACGCCACGCTACGCCACACCACGCCACACCACACCACGCCACAAACCTCATGACGTACCAGACATGACCACTAGAATTGACGTTGATGAGCCTGTTGTTGACCGTCACCTTATGGAAGGAGGCGGATTTCTCGTTCCGGAAGTAAGTATCCGGAACCCAAAAATAGTTCCAGCTCTCGTCCATCAATCTGGAAATGATAATGATAATGATGATGGGATTGGTGATGATGATAATGATGATGGGATTGGTGATGATGATAATGATGATGGGATTGGTGATGATGATAACGATGATGGAGTTGATGTTATTGTTGTTGTTATTGTGATATTTGCCGTTTGCTGTTACAGTTTCTGCGTCTGTCAGATCCTGCTTTTAAAGAATAATAATAAAAAAAAAATAGTAGCGTGTGTATGTGCGTGCAGTTGTGGCTGGAGAGAAGAAAATAGACAGACGCATATGAGTTTGCCATTCACATCTGAATGTCAGAGGCGCTTGTAGTGATGTAGTCAATTCTGTGGCAGTAATTGTTGGGATAGTAATTGAAATAGTAATTGTTTTACCGGTACTATTAATAAAAGTTAATAGTCAAAAAATTAAAGGTCAACCTCTCCTGTGCCCTTGCTTCAGAGGTTTCACCGACAAACTCACACACACACACACACACACACACACACACACACACACACACACACACACACACATCGAATATGAAGACGCGTTAAACTTAAAACCACGCAATAAACGTCTTGCATGCGATTGTCGGGAATCTCTATGCAATCGAGCACAGTTACTGCAACGTCAAGAACAGCGTCTCTAACCATTGAGCTATCACTAAGGCTGTAATAGTGAAAATAGTTTTGGTAGTATTTGTTGTTTGAGCGCCTACCTGATCTTGTTGTTGTTGGCTTCGTCGTGGTTGTAAGACAAACGCGGATCCCTCCATGCTTGCCGGAAGTACATACTCAAGCTGAAATCCTGATGATGATGATGGTGGTGGTGATGGTGATGAAGACAATAATGGTGATGGTGATAATGATGATGGTGATGATGATGATGACGAAAAAGATGATGATGATGATTATTATTATGTTGTTTTTTTTATGACGCAGTTTTTAAAAGAATTTGACGTTGTCAAATTCTTTTTGAACAATGAACTAAAACTTACGATAATAATAATATTAATAAAAATAATAATAATACAACAATAATAATAACAACAATAACGATTATGATGATGATGGCTATTGTTGTGCAATTATCACGAAACGGATTAAGGCAAATGATGATGACAATGCTGATGGCAGGGATTGCAAAAGCTAGATATTCAAGCCAAAAATATAAATGAGGCTATTGTCGCTGCTTCTACAGTTGCTGTTGCTGCTGCTGATTATGATTGGAGTGGGGTGATGACGATGATGACAGTGATGCTACCTACCGATGAAAAAATTTTGATAATGATGATGACGACCGCCAAGATAACGACAGCACGCACGCACGCGGGCAGTCTGAAATATCAAACTCGCATCGAATGATGCTAATGATAATGGTTATGATCGTAAAAGTGATGTCAGTGATGATGTTAATGATGATGATAATGATGATGATAATGATGATGATAATGATGATGATAATGAAGATGACGACGATGACGATGATGACGATGATGATTACGACGATGATGATGATGATGACGATGATGATCACCATAGTCTGTTCGCTAATACTGTAGATGTTGGTCACGAAAATACCCAACTGAACTTCCGTCGGTCTATCTGCAGTTATGATGATGATAATGATGATGGTGGTGATGATGAAGAAGATGATGTTAATGATGATGATGATGATGATGGTGATAATGATGATGACGATGATGATGATAATGATGATGAGGATGAAAATGACGAGGAGGAAGAGAATGAAGATGATATTGTGATTGAAATGGTGATGACAAGGCAGAAATTGAGATATCTAAATCTAATCATTTTTAAGCGCCAAACTGAATGCTTACTTATCATTGATTTATTTATTTACTCACTCACTCATTCACTTACTCACTCACTTACTCATTCACTCACTCACTCACTTACTCACTCACTCACTCATTCACTTACTCACTCACTCACTCACTGCATTACTCATTCATTCAATCATTCATTTATTTATTTATTCATTAATACCGTCGTCATCATCGTCGTCATCGTCTTAATAAAAATCATTAACATCACAGTCATCATCGTCATATTAATCATCATTATCATCAAAGTTATCGTCGTCGTCGTCGTCATCATCACCTCTGAAGGGTACTTGATTGCGATCGTGGTTCGCCTTTAAACTGTTCATTATCTGCGTTTTTCTGTTACCAAAGATTAAAAATGATGTAATCAAAAAACAGTAAATTTTTAAAAATAAACAATGAAAACGATGACATCATGATCACAAAAAATAGCAAAGAATAAGCAACAAAACAAAGAACACCAGAACCAAAGCAATAACAAACATGACGTCATAATCAACAATAGCAACAACAGCATCAAGTGGATCGATATAACCAACATAACAAACAAACTTAACCATAGTAATTTTCAAAAATTTACTACTACTACTACTATTACTGCAATTACTACTACTACTACTACTACCGCTGCTACTTCCACTACTACTACAACTACTACTACTACTACTACCACTACTACTAATACCACTGATTAACTAACTTGAAATAAAACAAATTCAATTAATTTTTCTACTACAAAACCCTGAAACTCAAATGCAACAAGAAAAAAACATAAACATTGCGACAACAAAGACAGCAGAACAAATACCCCAAAATAAAAAGACAAAGACAAAAAAGTCAAGTAGTTTATCGCAAAGGTGCCGCAGGAGAAATAACGGTTAACTTGTTAAAAAACGTAAAACAACAACACATCGCATCAACATCAATTAATACATTAACATAAAAAACACAATAACAACAACAACGACAAATAACAACAACAACGACAAATAGCAACAACACGCACGATGCTAGAGGCGGTAGGTTAACAGCCAAGGGTGGCTTTGTTGTTGTTGGGCTCTGTTGCGATGCTGTTGCTGATGCTGTTGCCGTTGCTGCTGCTGTCGTTGCTGCAACAATCGTCGTCATTTTTGTCGTCGGCCGCTTGTGTTGTTTCGCAGCTGTCGTCGGCGTAGCGCTATTTGACGATGACGATAATGACGACGATGACGTGGCTGCTGAAATTGATGTCGTTGTTGATGTTACCGCTGCGAGGAAGATCGAATGTGATGTTGTTGTGGCTGCTGTTGTTGCTGCTGCTGCTGGCATCGTCGTCGTCTTCGTCGTCGTCACACTCGTCGTTCGGCTACAAATTTTAATTAAACTTAATTACCGCCTTCGCTGTTAAAGAGTACTCATGCATGCACTTCACAAAAACACACCACGCACGATAAACACACTTACACTCACATACACACACACACAGACACACACACACACACGCACGCACACTCACATACACACACACAGACACACACACACACACACGCACGCACACACACATAAACACATACCTAATTTTGAATTGTGGTGGCCATAGATAATTTGCTTGATATTAATTTTATGGGTGCATAATTTGATAAGCAGAAATGACGATGGAGACTCAAGGGATGATATAACCGATTGATGGAGGAAATTAATGAAAAAACGGACAGAAAGAAGGAGGAATGAATGAATAAATGAATTAAAAGAAAAAAATGAATAAGTGGATGAATGAATGAATGAATAAGTGGATGAATGAATGAATGAATGAATGAATGAATGAATGAATGAATGAATGAATGAATGAATGAATGAAAGAAACATCGAGCGTACAAATAACAATCAAACGAACATATGTTGGGTTGATTGATTGATTGATAAAAAAAATGGATAAATGAACAAAGGAATAAATAATGAATGAATGAATGAATGAATGAATCAATGAATCAATCAATCAATCAATCAATCAATCAATCAATCAATCAATCAATCAATCAGTCAATCAATCAATCAATGAACGCATGAATGAATAAATGAATGAACAACAAATCACCCTGACTGATGTATTAAATGTACCGTACGTACACGAGTGATGTACAATTGATAGCTGTGTGGATGATGATACGATGACACGCGTACACACACACACACACACACACACACGCACAACACGCACACACACGCACACACACGCACACACACGCACACTCACATTGAAATATATAAAAGACGGCAGAGATTGATAAACGAACAAAAAAATTAAATTATTGGCAGATAAAGAATTCAACGAATGCATATGTGAATAGCTGACGCAGTGAATGAACAAACAAATAAATAGATGAATGAATGAATGAATAAATAAATAGATAAATGGATGAATTAATGAATTATTGAAAATTGAATGAAATATAAAAAAGTTATAGATTTGAGGAAATTAACAAACCACAGAATGAATGAATAAATGAATGAATAAATGAATGAATAAATGAATGAATAAATGAATGAATAAATGAATGAATAAATGAATGAATAAATGAATGAATAAATGAATGAATAAATGAATGAACAAATGGAATCAATATTGGAAAAACATGAAAAAAAGAATAAATTAAAGAATAAAAAACAAAACGAACGAAAGAAAAATAAATAAAAGAATCGGTGAATGAAAACGAATAAAATCAATGAAATGATTAGAGCCTCCAGCAAGAGCTTAAGTTACCGAAAAAATCAGTTGGCATTGAAGTGAGTTTCGTGAAGATTGCTACGTTAGAGTTGTTGTTGTTGTTGATGATGTTTATGTTGTTGTTGTTGATGTTGTTGTTGATGATGTTGTTGCTGATGTTGATGATGTTGTTGATGATGTTGATGATGTTGTTGCTGATGATGTTGATGTTGTTGTTGAGGTTGTTGTTGTAAATGTTGGCAAAAAATAGCTGAACGCAAAATTTTTTGATCACGTGATAAGAAGCAATTGCGTACGTCAGAAACAGCAACAACAACAACAACAACATAAACAACAACATAATCAACCATCGCAATGTGTATGTATAATCTAAAAATACATTTAATGGCTAAATCAATACTCTTTGAAACATCAACAACAACAACTTCTACTACATCCCAACATCATCATCATCAACGACAACATTGGCAACAACAACAACTACTACTTTGCAACATCAACAACAACATCAACAACAGCAGCTTCAACAGCAGCTTCAACAGCAACAACAACGACATCAAAAACATCATTATCACCACCAGGTGCACCAAAAATTTTCTAATAAAATGACAAGCCTATTCTCCGGACACATAAATAATAAAGACCGCCTACTTTTGTCGACGTCATAAAGAAAGAACTAATAGGCAGCTGGGCATTTAAATATTTAATGAGCTTATGAATATTAATTAGTTGAGGTTTCGTTTTATGATTGAGAAACAGTTAGGATTTTTTTAATCTTTCCAACATCATCTCCACCGATGTTATCATCATCATTATTGCTAGCAATCATCATCATCGTCGTCGTCATCTTCTTCGTCATCTTCCTCCCTACCTATTGAACATAATCACTTCAATCGTCGAATGAGCAGAAGAACTAGTGAAATGCAGAAGAATTTATGAAATGAAGGAATGAAGTGAACGAATGAAAGGAGTGAAAGAATGAATAAACAAACTTTTACACAAATACAAACATGTAAATGCATACAAACATGTGAATGTTTCGTGTATACAAGTGAGCGGAATGAAACAGACTAAAAAATTTGAAAATATGGAAGTTTGACATTTTGAAAATTTGGACGAGAGATAGAAAGAAGGAAAAAAAGTTGTCCATTTCAGACATTAACCAGTAAAAAATAAGAGTCTGACGATGCTGCTGCTGCTGCTGCTGCTGCTGATGATGATGATGCTGATGATGATGATGATGATGATGATGCTGATGAT